GGATATCGTGGATGCACATGGATCCATCAGTCACGGTACAGCCGAACTCCTGCCGACCGGAAGGTCGCTGCCGAATTCACTGAGAAGCAGCATCGAAGGGTCATCAACGCAATGGACGAGATCATCAAGATGCGAAGGCATACCATGATCTGTGACATTGTGGTCTTCGGTTGTGGAGACTCCTACTCGTATGGACTCCCACCGTCATATGGGCTGGAAATGGGTCGGTGCTTTGAACATCTCATCGCTGGGGGGGTGAGGTGCGTTTCGACGTGCATGCCCTCGGCATTCAGCACAAGGTATGACAAGCTCCACATGACGGACCTCCCATCGAACCGAACTCTCATGATAAAGTTTTTGAGGTCCATGATCCGAGCCCATTTGATCGTCATGCAGATCGAAGAATTGGAGCCAATCTTGCGCCAGAAGGCGTCATTCTTGGATGACGACCCCGAAGAACGCATGAAGATTGTCTATCAATACCCGAACCTGGCCCAGTTCAAGTTCTCACTCTCCAAGACGGACCAAGTCCAGGCGGCTCTCACCCGTGAGGCACTTCCAGTTTCTCTCGCCCAGGAAGCCCAGACTGCTGATGAGCACCTCATGGACTACATGGCCGAGCTGAACGAAGTCGCCGAGGATGAAGCCACCCGGGAGGGTGCGCCGAAACCCATTGAGTTTACGGAGGGTGACCTCAAGTCCATCGTGCTAGTCTTCAAGGACGACGTGGATTCTGATGAGGAAGAGGCCAGATTGAGGGAGCATCTACAGGCTGACTTTGATGATGCCGCCGATGCCGACTGGTCTCCGGTGCGGAGCGAAGCAACGGAGAACATCCCTGGGATTGATGAGTGGGAAGCCATCGACGACTCCCGCCCCGACATTGTGCACAACATCTTTGATCGTGAGGACAATGTTGAAAGCCACACTGAGGTGGACTATGGGGCAGACGTTGAGGAAACCGCGGAGCCTGTCGATGAGTTTGCTGACGCCATCGTAATCCAGGATGACGCCATGGACGTCGACAAGACCGAGACAGAGACCAAGGACGAGGCTGGGAATCTGGACGATGTCATGGTGATTGAAGAGCCAGAGACCGGCCACCCTGCGGTTGAGGTCGCGACTGAAGAGTCCAAGGCGCCTGAGACGGAGGAGGCTGTTGCCGGGGGGGACCCTGTGCCTGTTGTTGATGTTGAGAAAACGGAGGGCAATGTCACCACTTCTGAGGCGGTTGCCACCGATGCCAACACCACCACAGCTGAGGGGGTCGAAGCTCGCCGGAAGGCCTGCCAGTGATGAGAAAGCAGCGTCATCGTCAACAAATCCCAAGCCAGAGGCAAAGAAGATGCCATTGAGTCATCACACCGCCAAGGCGCCCACCAAGTTGATGGATGATGTTGCCAAGCTCAAGCTCGAGCAGGCGAAGGAGAGGCTTGAAGATGCGGTATGGCTTGATCCGACTGACTTGAACAGCAGGATCCCGTACAAGAACGTCAATGCCAATGGCCGTCTCCGAGAAATCTCAGGAAAGATGTCGATGTACCTTCGCGGTCACGCACTTGCTGATGGTTACCCATCACCGGAGATGGACTTCACCGACTTGTCAATGGATTGGGTAGAGCTGCGCAACCACTTGAACAACAAGATCAGGAACGTGGTTGATTGGGAAATTCTCCAAGTCATCCGCAGCAGCGACACCCGCCGTTTCCAATTGCAAGTCTGCCGTCCTGACAATGAGAAAGCCATCTGGAAGGGTGTGCCGTGGCAACCGATTCGTGTCCGAGCCTACCAAGGTCACAATGCCTTTGTGCTCAAGAAGGGAAAATTTGCTCCCATGATCCGTGACCTGTACACATTGGATCCGGACTTCACAAAGGAAAAGGTTGATGCGGGTGACATCCCCAGAGCAAATTTCAGACCCGATCTCGTCCCGGAATTCAGTGACTTCCCCAGAATCATCTACCATTCTTGCGACAAGGGGGTTGTCTCACAGATCATCCAACATGGCTTGATCCCGGGAGGGTGGCCGAAGTCTTCTGGACGTGCCCACAGCTACTTCATTGCGACGCACCCATGGGATGCCAACATGAAGAAGCTCGCGGGGACGCGAGCCGGAAAGCCATTCTATGTAGCAATTGACGTGGAGATGGCAATGCAAGTGGGGGCCCGTCTGTTCCGAACGGACGAGGCGATCATGACTCCAGATTGGATCCCCAATGAAGCCATCATCTGCGTATACAATGCGGCCGAACGGGAGTTCTATTGGTCGAATAGAGCATACGCTGCAGGACGCAAAAGCTACAACGAACGGGTCAAGAAGTCAAAGGATCAGGACGAAAGTGTTGTCCAAGCCCTCGTTCAGTCAAAGCGTGGCAAAGGCATGGATATGCTGTTAGAGCAATGGTCGTCATTTTTGACAGGAGTGGAGCCCGGCAAATTCTTTGCATTGGTTCAGCCCAAAGCCCTTTCAGGTGTGATCCGCGACATGGAGGCTGCAGAAGGCATCGAGTCCGAAGAGATGAAGAACTATCTGTTTGCCTACTATGCGGCGGTGTCCAACTCTGAGGTCATTGAACGACGAGGAAAGGGCAAAGGCAAGAACCGAGGAAAAGGAAAGGGCCGCCACCCGGGAGGGAAGGCCGGTGTCATCACCCAGATGAGGATCGAGGACCTCAAGTACCATGATTGCGTCACCGCCCAAAAGGTGACCATTCCCTTCCGAAAATGTGAAAAATGCGACCAGAATATGCTGGACGGCATGGCAAAATGCCCCTCTTGCTACATTTCCATGGAGGCCTGGAGCGACAACAGAGTGGCAACTGAAGTCTGCCGGTTGGAAAGCCGTGCCGCAGAAATCCATGGCGTATTCGCCCTCAGCCAAGTCAGCCAGGTGCAGCCCAGAAAGCACCGAGCTGGATCTGAGGCGCGCCAGAGGAACCGTGCGGGACGTTCCAATTTCGGCGTCATGAAGGACGGGGCGAAGAAGGAAGTCAAAAAGCTTAAGAAAACAGGCTTCGCTTCCATCAGAGAGAGGATGGAGAATGACCCGTTTTTTTTTATGTATAATTGCAGTATTGCCCAGTTGACTCCTCCTTGTTGCGACTTCCTCCAAAGGCTCGGAAGTTGCATTTCTCCGGACGTGGGGCGCTCATTCGAAGCCAGAAGAGAGGGCAAAGGCACTGATGTCAAAACAAGACTGATCTTCATGCCGTATCAGGGCAGAGACACGAGCAGGCCTCTCGATGTGTCGAAGGAGGCGATGGTGTGCCACTCCGGCAGGTTCTTCAGCCTCGCCCAGTTCGCAGTTTACACTTCGAAACTGGCTCCAGCGCGAGGGGAACCCGCGCCGACTATCTATGGATTCTCTGGCAGCATCCTGATCCTCGACGAACAGCCGCTCAAGGAGAACTATGACGATCTGGTCAGCTTCGCGATCCAAAATTGGACCGATAATCATGGTGCCTTGGATTGGAATGTTCACACTGATGAGCCCATTGCAGAGGCGAGCACCGTGACATTCCCTGCAGCCATGGGTCCAAAGAAGACGGAAGGGTTGATTGACAACCCACGCCGTAACTTCGACCCGAGGATCACGGAGCGGTACCGTCCCGAGGCCACGACTTGGAGAATGTCCTCATACGATGAGCCCCAAGAAGGCTGCTTTCGGTGTGGGGCCCAAGATCACTGGCAGAGGGACTGTCCTTACCGCGGCATGGACGCGCACTACACGCGCCGTGTTCGAAGGGGTGAATGGGGATATGCCCGGGATGAAGGTGGTAGCCATCGCAGGTCTGGGTGGTATGCCGACCAATGGCGTTATGCCGACAGCTGGCGCCAGTGGAACTACGGCTACGAGGACAGGAGGTGGGGAAAAGGGAAGAATGACCCCAAGGGCAAGACCCACGACACTAGCTACGTCAAAGGACCTGCCAAAGGACAGGGCAAGGGAAAAGGACGCAGCTACTCGGGAGGGTATGCCGCAGATCGCGAACGTGAGAGATCTCCACCCCCATCTGGTGGTGCATCTTCGTCCGCTGGACCTCCACCTCAGAATTACCGCCCTGGGCGTAACACCAGAGTGATGGATGCTACGACCCATGAGACCGTCACGAGCCATGGTGTGATCAGAGAACGTGTTGTCGAAGAAGCCGATGGCACAATGTACACTGAGATCACCTTCCCTGATGGCACAGTTGAACGGGATTATTGGTAAAAGGCTATGAACTTATCAGCTTAAATTTTGTTGAATTCAAATCTATTACATTCGTCGGTGAGATCAATCTCATTAAATTTTGTCTTTCAATTTTTGCCTTGAAGCACATTTTTTGCTAATCTTCCCCATGGCTAGGAGTAGAAGTTTAGCCGTGGCGGAAGCCCGGCCATGTGCATTCTTTTAGGGCATTGCTTTTGTACAGGCGTGTCTTGATGTGTCCGAGTGACTCTATCGAATGTCATGTGCATCAAAGCCGTGACGGGAGTCCGGCCATGTCAACATGCTGTGTGCATCCGACTGCATCCGTGCCAAAATATCGCATCCGTTTTGCATCCGTGAGTTGTCGATTTTGTGCATTGTATAGTTCATTTTCCATGCACTCGTTTTACAAGTTGTCATAGTGCTGAACATTTTCTATTTCGCGACAGCTAGAGTCATACTTTGTACATGTTCTATTTTGACCCTCGTCCGTGCTCAGGTCTTTTTGTGGATTGCCTCCTCGACTTCCTGCCTGCACTACGTTGCGGGCGGCGGGGGGTATTTAATGGTAATCCTATTACATGTACATAGATATAATCCTCTTTATACGCTGTTGCATGGCTCAAGAAAAAGCTGAGTGTTACCGGCTGTTTAACCCTAAAATACAGAAACTAATCCACTTAGTGTGCAAGTCATGATTATATACAGGTGAAGAAAGCATGGCATCGCTTGCGTCTAAGTTTGCATTGGATGCATTGACTTTGTCTGCAAGATTTGGTGCTTCTACTGTGAATACCTGGTCCGGCAGGATGAAGCACAAGAGCCAGCTGAAACGGAAAAACCAGGACCAAGAAGCAGCGGGCGATGCCACAGCTTGCAGACATGTGCCGTTCATATCTTTCCCATCGCTTCCTTTTGCCATCTTTTCTTGTGTTTGTTTTCCTGGCATTTGAGGACAGAAGAAAGCTCTCTCCTCAAAGGTTGGGTTCAGGGATTTCAGCACCCGAAGGTACCAACATTTTGGTGACCTTAAGCCGCTCAGAGCCAGTGATACGCGGCCAGGAGGTTGAACATTTTGCGAATCGCATGTCGGCATGGGCGAAGGACTAGTCATTTCACGTAATTTCATGTCATTTCTTGGTTTTTCTGTGGCCAAATGGGGCAGCAAATCCAGTAGCGGAGAAGGTCGGAAGGTCGAGGGTGCTTAGATTTTTGATGCTGGGCCGCTGCGTGCCAGTTGGATGGGAACTTCTGTAGTGAATTCTTTGTTTGGGTTTAGCAGCATAGCTGATGTGTTAGCTTGAACTGACTTCAAGGGCGAGTGATTGTCCCTGCCGCAGTCTTCCAGGACCGTGACAAGCGGCGACAGGATGAGTCCGAAAAGGCTCGAAGCAAGGACAGCAACGGATTCAGAAACGCCGAACTAAATAAATAAAGTGGGGTGAAACGACTGATGAGGATGATGATGATGACGACGACGACGACAACGACGATGACGATGATGATGATGATGACGATGATGATATAATAGTAATAATTACTAGAAACAATGATAATATTTTTTTCCGACGAATAAGAATCAGAAATAAATAAATAATAATGAATAATATTAATATTAATAATAGTAATAAGAATAGTAATAACAGCATTTTTCATATCACATGCATATAATATGCAGTTTAGCCAAGGCACCGGGGTTTTCATACCATACTGGTACCCCGCGACTTCCCATCAACCCTGCTGTGTGGTGGATGATGATCAGCAAAGGAGACCATCCAGCAGCTGCAGATCAGCGAGCGCTCTAGGAAGTTGGCCAAGAACGTGAAGCACCGCACCCAGAGCACCGGGGCACTAAATGCAGCTGGTGGCCGGCAGCCGGTGGCCGATGCTGAGGCCGGTGCATGAAAGGCTGGGAGACATCGTGCAGGCGTAGCTCTCAGATGAGGATGTCACTTCGAGGACTTGACAAGCAAGGTCCGAGCGACACTGTGTTCCCTAAATCAACGTTTCAGGCGTGCTCAGACATCAAAGGATCATCACAGGCATTTGTGCTCTGGTTCAGTCCTTTGGAGCCACTCCTGCCATTTCCAAGGGCCGAAAGGAGGCTTTTCAGCAGGCGAGAGCCAAGCAGGAGGAGATGGAGATGAAGGTGGGGAAGCAGCACCAGTAGAGCTGGCTGTTGAACATATTTGATGTTTTGATTCATGGAGATGGCGTTGCAAGCCGGTTGGAGTCAGGGACGATTTAAGTCCTTATCAAATACAATACATGGAGCGGGTTGTCCAGCGTTGACAATCCAGCCATAAGGTATCAGGATGCCAATGTCTTGTAAGCCAACTTTCCTGGCTCCATTCCTCCTTATATAGAGGGTCATGAATCATGACCCAGTGCTTTCATCATTTGCTGTGAGGATGCCACGATGCACCCAGTGATCTCTGCGAGGTGTGCGGTAGCGATGTGAGAAATTGTATGGCCAACACGCCACAATAATTTTGTTCATCTGTCATTTTGAACTAGCAACGAAGACCAACTACTGAGTGGTGTTGATCAAAACATGTTCATTCGCCCTGGGGTTGGTCAGTTTTGCATGCAGGGCCCAGAAGATGGAGAGGCGCTTCGAAGATCACCAGAGTCTGGGGCGCCTGGGGATTTCGCCTGTAGCCAAGGAGCCATGGGGCCGGGCCTGTGGCAGACATGCGGACTGAGGTTGGAAGGAACGCAGGGATAAGCGCATTGGTCCTGGGCTCAAGTTGTTGGAAGATTCAGCACCAGGAGGCAGATGAAGGTTATCTGGATGCACGTCGCTTATTTGCAAAGTCTGTTGGACCATTGAATGGAACTGAGGTGAAGAACAGTTGGCTCAGTACCAGAAGCAACTGTCAGGGGCCCAGCATCATCCACTTTCCCTCTCAGCCGGCAAGATGATGTGAAAATGGCTCAAAATCAACGTTAACCCAGAATCAACAAACTCCAAGCTTATTATTACTAGGGGTGGGATTTTTGATAGTGATTCATCACTATTTTGATATTTTGGCGATAATCCAAGGTGACATATATGAGCGACGGCTCTTATTTGCGTACATGGAAAGTAGTATTCGGGCGTACCCCGGTTTGTCAAAAACATCATATTTAGCTTGTAAAACGAGGTAGGAACACCCCGAGAACAAGGTAGGCAAAAACGTTATACGGGACTGGAGAACGAGGTAGGAACACCACGTCAATTGCGTTATGTAACAAATATGGTTCGCAGCTCATATGTATCACACAGTCCTACATATCTACATAACTCCCCAAAATGGAAGTGCTCCATCAAACCGAAATGTGTCCCTAGCCATTTGGGGATCTCTTCCCCCCATCCCAGCCGGTTCCCGAGGGCCGAGTGCACCTTCAAACCGCAGATCAACAAAACCTCCAGCAGCCTGGCACAGAAGACAGCGGCCATCAGCTTCCGCCACGGGCGCCGTGCCGGGCTCGGGCAAGATCCCATGCGACCCAGAAAGCTACTCGGGTGGTCGAGGGGAGGTTAAACACAGGAAACTCCAGGAAAACCATAAGAAAAATTGCAAGAAATGTGCAGTCGGATAGGACTTGACCCTTGACACCTGGGTGAAGTAAAATCTATCACTGATATCCAGGCCCAGGAGCCGCTGGCGAGACGGGTGCTCAGATGCCGGATGAGGAACATGAATTGTGACTCGGATGCAGCCAGCTTGTTTGCGCACAGCTGATTTTGAGATATTTTGAGGATAGCAATGTGCCCAGGGTGACAATTATGGAGCGGAGGTTGAAAGTCTTGGATGATCTTCGATGCATAGAATACATCAGTTTAGTCCATCGCATGGTTAAAAAAAACCTTGAGATCACGATCGAATGATGCAAAAATATGCTAAAATTAGGAAATCCATGGATTTCCATATATTTCCATGGGCTTTATTGACATTCATCGAATTCGCAGCCAATTTTGTGGCTTTCAAAGTTGCCATTGAAGACCGACCCGGGATTTTGCTTCGCTGACGCAATGGCACCTCTTCAGAGACCCTTTCGAGTGGCCACTGACTGCAGCGGCATGGAGACCCCGTGGCATGGCAGTCAGTTGAGAGTTGGGCATTCTGAGAGGCACAAAATCAGAGAAATCAGAGAACAACACTGGTGAAAAGATGTGAAATGTTACCTGCATTCTTTGACTGTCAAGTTAGTATAATACAAAATTAATAATGATCTAATATCCAACAACTAGATAGATATAGATATAGATAAAGATATAGACATAGATATAGAAATAGAGATAGAGATAGAGATAGAGATAGATAGATAGATAGATAGATAGCTAGCTAGATAGATAGATAGATAGATAGATTAGATCGATTGATCGATCGATCGATAGATAGATAGATAGATTAGACTAGACTAGATTAGACTAGACTAGATTAGACTAGACTAGATTAGACTAGATTAGACTAGATTAGACTAGATTAGATTAGATTGGACTAGATTAGATTAGACTAGATTAGACTAGATTAGACTAGATTAGACTAGATTAGACTAGATTAGACTAGATTAGACTAGATTAGACTAGATTAGACTAGATTAGATAGATAGACAGATAGATAGATAGATATAATGCTAGATACATAATGCCTCTATGAACCGAACATTAGCAGATGCTTCCAGTGCTCCCACTTCTATGGATTCCACGAATGGTCAAATTCTGAGGATCATGGCATTGAACCGCCTGCAGGTGGGCGGAACTCATGAGGTGTTAGGGGGAACCCATGGGGTTCCGATTGGTTCCTGTTTCGTCACCGCCAAAGGGCGAGTCTTTTCAGGCCAAGTAACACCCTTGCGTTTGCGCCGGCCCTGACAACTGCACTGCGCAAGGTGGACTTCGAGCATGTGTTCTCGTGCGACACGTGCCCCCAAGTGAAGAAGCAGATCTTGGCCAATTTCTCCGGAGTTAAGTTCTTCGTCCCTTGGTCGAAATGGAGAGAAAGAATCACCACTGGTTCATTCTTATGTGGATCTTCCGAGGCTTCCAAAGTCATCCGAAGGTGTGTTGATGGCCGCATTCGGTGCATTGGTTTGATGCATTGGTTTGATGTGTTGTTTCATCATATAGACTATAGAAATTGATGGCAAAAAAACAAGGAAAACTACCCATACCCAGCTGTATGGGTGATAAAAAACCGCAGCCTGTACCATGGCAAGACCCCACGCCATGATCGAAAATGATAACTGCGCCACATGCCCCAGCACAATAAATGGAGCCAGCGCCGCCTTCATTTGCCGTGTCTCGTGGACAAACAATCACCTGACTAGGAACCCTAAATTCACTGGCAAATCAGTTTTTTTTTGGCATATCTTCCCGTATTGATCCGTACATATAAATTAGATCTACACGCCATTCCCAGCACCTCATTTTTCATGTGAAAATTAGATGTTTGAGATATTTAGAGGGTACAGGGCACAACGGGCACAACCACATTTTCAGCCCTGAGGATGACCTGATGTCAAGAGACAATTCCAGCCGAGACGTACCTGCAGCCGATTTGTACATTGCAGGATTTCCATGCCAACCTTTCAGTGGTGCTGGTGACTTGCTTCCCCGGGTGGATATGGGTCTGAATGGGGTGCCTATCCCAATTTTATGGCTATCATATATGGGGAATACGAGGATGAGTTCTAATTCTAGGGGCATCCATTTTTTTCAGTTCAGAAAGTCACATCGCGTGTAAACATCAGATGGTTGGCAGATGTTAGATGTTAAAATAAGATAAAATAAGTGGGTTGACCTGGAAGAATTTCATGAACTTATATCGTTTTGTCGGCCTTCAACGGTTCCGGTGTTTTGGAGTTGCGAGGATCATCGCATCTTCGAAGAGGGAATGGGGGAAGGCACCTGCGGGCCTACTGTAGCGGAGCATTCCGAAGCAGCCAGACATCCAACCCGGTCGCAACCCATGGGAAGCCCCATGGGACCCATGCCCCGCGTGCCGAGGCAAGGGCCTTGGTTTGGATGACACCCGTGGCACCGTATTCTTCGGATGCGCCGATTACATCCGACAGAAGCGGCCGCGACTCTAGGCCGCAGTGCGGCAACGGTCGCCTGGAGATATGACCGAGAACGAATATTTTCTCTTGACGAATTGGAATCATTCTGATTAGTTCTCTCAGAATTTGATGTTTATCTCCCCATTTTGGCAGGTTGCATCATCATTTTGATGACTCTCCATTTCAGGAGCTTTCGTTCTGGAGAACGTGAAGCGGATCCTTTCGAACAACAATGGCCACACGTGGGAAGTGCTTTCAGCATCAAAAAATATTTTCTTCTGGTTTTCGTTCTCCGTTCCATTTCATTATAGAATTGTGCATGTGAACGAAAAGAACATAACGTCCATACGCGTGATGTTCACATAAAGAGAATTCCATAGAATTCCATAGAATTCCTGATTTCTGCCGTTTTTTTTGGTAGTATTGTTGGTTGCACCGCCTCTGACTGGGGGTGTCTGAAGACGTGGCATGCTGATCCAGGTGATCATGAACACCTTGACCACCATGAACGGTGGAGCTTACCATGTGGATTGGAAGGTCCTGGACACGCAGGAGAGAGTGGCAATGAAGAGTACCAATGAACCCGCTAAATTGGTCTATTTAGGATTAAACTTGACGAAACCACACAACTTTGTTTATTTTGTTTGGGGGGTTGATGATTTTGACCCATACCCATCCGGGCAGACACACAGGGCCACACCCCTGGACAGGAGCATGGTGTGCCACAGTCTCGGCCACGGGTTTACATCGTTGGAGTTCTGAAGGCGGGTTCAGGTTCACTCTGGGCGTATGTGCACCCGCAGCCATTCCTGAGACAAAGTTCTGCCACTGTTGAGAGGTCAAAGTTTCGGATGAAATTATAGACAATTATAGTTATAGTTATTATATATGAAATATCATATTTGCATGGGATCAACATCCATTTGCTAAACATTGTGATGTTTACCCCCAACATCAGGGTTTTGGACCAATATTGGCATTCACCATTTGTTTCTTTCGCCGTGCGAATCTTCGCAGACAGCGCTGCCCAAGAACTTCGAGAGCTTCCCATGGCCCGAGAAGCTGCCGCTGATCAGCATCGAGCCCCTGCTGGAGGAGGCAGAAAGGAAGCCCACCATGAAGGACTGGGTCCATCTGGGCCGCAGTGGATGGATACCTTTTGTGATGGCTAAGCGTGATGGTGTCTGGAGTTGGTTAAGCTAACTGGAGTCAATACGTACCCCCATAAGTCTTAACCATGGTTTATTAATCCGGGGTCGACATCACACACACAGATATATATATATATATATATATACACATATATACATATATACATATACATATTTATGAATCTAATCTCGCGTATTATGAGGCCAGAAGCCATGTGCTGAATCCCTATCGAATAGCCGCCAGTTTCTTGGCCTTTAAGCGCGAGGACCTGCCGCCCCAGTACCCGACCACGCCCTACAAAGGCGTGAAGGAAGTGATGGGTGCGCTGAAAAAGGCGAAGAAGGACCTGGGCATTTGGGCATCCAAACTGTCAGTTTGATGAACATCAAGCTGCCAAAGAAGTCAGTTTGCAGTCCATCTTAGCATCTGTGGAAGATGCTGGAACCGTTCTGGCCATTTGTGCTTCAACCTTCCAAATCTTCAAACATCTTGTCACAACCTCCCATCTAGTCCATCAGCACCTAAAACCTACTGGCCGTATGTATTTTGTGGGTTTTTCCAGCAGGACCCGCTGTCGCGCACGTTTTTAATCGACGTGGATGCCAGCCCGAAGTTCCGAAGCTACATGGAAGATCGCGTCATGTGCATGACGAAGTCGAGGCCATCTGGGTGTCCTGCTTGAGATTAGCTGCTAGCTGATTCGTCGTCGAGATTAGCTTGAACTTTTGCTGCTTGACACCAGGTAGCACGGTTGGTTTGTGATGGACATTTAAGATCAGCTTTTTGCAATTGACACATAGACACAGATGCACACACACACAAACACACACACACATGTGTGTGTAGTACAATATGTGATCCAAGCCCAGGTGGCATCCAATACAAGTAAGGGTCGAAAGGACATCGTTTGCCTGTTCTGCAGGGGACCTCATTGCTCGAGATAAAAAAGTGAGACCCTACCTCCAGGGTGGGACGTGCTACCTGCTCGAGAAAGAGAGAGGTAAATGATCGAAAATGAATCAATAATCAATGATAGTAACTAAATAAATAAAGGTAATCAATAATAGCGAATGAATGAGCCTCTCCGGAACACTGACTTAGGTATTGGATCTCTTCGCGGGGTCGACGCATGAACGTGGACGAGATGTTGCGCTTGCAGGGCATGGAGCGATGTTTCGAGCAGGTGCCTGGACCGGTTGACCATTGCTGGGTAGCTGGGGATAGCGATGTGCACCATCGTTAAACCAGACGCAGAGGGCCGCGACATTTGATGACAGTTGAGAGAGATGGACTCAAGTTTTTGTGGGAACAAATGATTCAATTTTAGTGGATATGGGTATCATATATTACATGATACCATATGATATATAACAAATGATACCATATTATCATCATATATTATCCACATGATATTATGATGGATTATCCATATCATTATCAAATGGATTTGGACATTTGATGCACTTTTTTAATCACGGCAGGTTGTGACGGACAAGGTCCTGGGGGCTCAGATTGGCAATGCGATGAGCCAAAACATCCTGGAAGCCTAGGCAGCATTGATGGCATGCCGCAAACTTCAGTCGTTCTAGTTCCAGATTTTAGGGCAAAACATCTGCAAATGGCCATGTATGCAACTTGAAATTTGCAGTAGTTACCAGTTTTTTCTGTTGTTTCTTAATTGATATAGATCATTTAGTGGAAGTAGTTCAGTTTGGGCAGCAATTGCGTTCTTGTGTATTGCTCCTGGAAACATGTCGGACATGAAATTGCAGAAAGAAAAGTGGGCTGAGCTCATGAAGGATTTTCCAGCAATCTTGCATCTGGTGACACCTCAAACATCTCAAACCAGGTGTTTCCATGCCACGACAAGCTGTCGGTTCAAGGTTTGCCATTGGTCAGTGCCATGCGGGCCATGCGTCGTGGTGTCTTTGTCTTAGCTGTTCTGGCTCTGGGTTGGCTGAACAGATGCTGGGTATCACCCAGCCGCAACCGCAGCCTGGTGCAACGTGGGGCAGCACCAGCCCTGACAGACCGAACTGTAGAGGATCTTCGGTGGTCTTTGTTGCGGATGGCTGCTGCCTTGGACCGTGGACAGGTTTTGGGGGATCTAACTTTTCCACTGTTTGGGGCGTGAATGAAGGATTATAACATTTTGATCTGCAAAAGTCGAATTTTGGCGAAATAAATGGGGTTGACCCTGTGTGCAACTGTATACATACACACACACACAGATATATATATATATATATAATATATATATATAAAAAATATATATATATATTATATATATACACACCCACACACCCACACCCTGTACTTCCATACTTCATATCCTGGAAAATGTTAGGATGTGGGTCGAAAACCTGGTTTTTGAGCCCAACTGCAAAAAAACAGGTTGTGGCACCAAAAACAGGGTTGTCCTGAAAACATTGTTTTTCCATGTTTTTCCAACCTGTAAAAAACTCGTTAATATCTAAAAAAAACAAAAACACCTCCCGTAAAAAGCGTCCTCAGAAAGAGGAATTTGTCAAACCAAATCAAAACCGGGTTTTGATGCCCAAAAGCAGGATTTTTCGTGGGAGGTACGGGGTATATAAAAAAATACCTACATACGGCATACATATATCTATAGTGTTACTCTATATACACCATTTCCACTTTTTGATCGAAAAAGAATGGCGATGCCGCTAAATGGAGAAAATCTCAGCAACCCTGCAGGCCTACAATCCCACCAGCGGAGAGTACTATGCGGAACGCATGGCAGTGGCACGTGAGTTGCTAGATGAGTTGCTACAACGGCCATCGAAGAATTTCACCATGCAAGATTTGGATGGCGAGTGGGAGCTGGTATTTTCCACCGTGAAACACGGCATTTTTCGCTCCTCGCCTTTTTTTCTGGCCGTGCAGGAGGCCTTTGGCAACCAGGAAAGTTCGGAGCTGTTCTTCAAGCTCCACGAATTGCAGGTGGGGTCAGGAGTTTGCCACTGCCTCATGTGGCGATTTTCCAGCCGGGGATCAAAGTTGGTTGTTGGTTGGATTCAATGATTTATCAACTCATTGACAGATTTGACAGCTGAATGAGTTGCTTCTTCTCAGGTGATGTCTTGGGGCGCCTCTAAAGTGGGACGTGTGGCGCAATACATCAATAGCACTGAGGGATTGCTTTACAGTGACTCTTGGTATTCTTGGTGCCGGACAGTTGGTCAATTTTGGCTTTTGAAGATGGACATTTGATGAGCTTTGCAGTTTTGTCCAAGTTTTGTATCATCGTACTGTCAGCGGCTTTGACATCTCCCCACTTTTGAATGGTTGAGGCCATCCTTCGGGTCCAAAACCGGGCAAATAGCTACGTATTAGGGTGGTCTGCGGAAGACTCGGTGTTCTCATCCAGAGGTTCTACACGTTTTTTTTTTTTGGTGGGGGTTTGGTAGTTTGGTGGATTGAACTTCTGGGATTCGGAGAGTTCCCTGGCCAGAAACCAACCAGCTGAAGCTAAAACTGCCGAGGAATTTGACACTTCTCTGCTGTCCATGACGGTGATCCCCATCGTTGGCTTCTGGAAGCTGCTGCCAACCATTGGAGGCTGCGTGGTCACGGTGTCCAACATCACCCTGGTGGAGAACACCATCAACATGGAGGTCATGGGAGCCTCAATCAGAAATGAAGGGGCCTATGGATCAAGAATCGGGCACCCATTTGGGCAGCAATAAAATTGGGTCACTTTGAGTATTAACTGCTGCAATTGTCGGGTTGTTCAGTGTATCATTTCGAGGCATGGCTGAGTTTGGGGATGCACTGCCAGGATCTGCCAGGGGTCGTCGCCAGGTGCAATACACCAAGGCCAAGGAGGTGCCTGGACTGCCGCCCCTGTCAGATTTCGTTATGGACAAGGAGGTTCCGGTGAATTCTGTCTGGAAGATGCTCCCCTGGAATGGTGGGCGCCCACCCACCTGCAGCGTTGAGATTAAGTACCTGGACGATGAGATGCGAATTGTGGCAGATCGCGATGGCGAACTGTTCGTCTACATGCGCCCAGTGGACCCGCGAGGCTTGTGACGCGAAGCGACGAAAAAAATGGCACGGCTGTGGTTTGGAGTGGGTTGAGAGAGGGGATTGGAGTTCGATTCCATATTGAAAGATGATCCCCAACTTGATTCATGATATTTGGATCAGACTACTGTCCCAAATAAGTTTCAGCTTGGAACAGATTGATTGAAGATATTGAAGAACCTGCCGCGGATGTGACTTTCGATGCAAAGTCCAACCTTTTGTAGATCCAAGGAATCCAAGGACGCTGTTCAAGCCCTTGGTGTTTGATACTTCTGTGCAACCGGTGCTTTGCATGAGGAACGTCTTTTATCAACCGTGTTTACGCTGTAAAGCAATCACATAAGCAAAGGAACTCGTTTCTCCCCACTTCTTTTAAAGGTTTCTGTTTCTTCACTTTCTTCCTCTACCTCAGGATGGGCCAAAATCGTGGTATGATTAATTGTCCATTGGTGTCACCAGGGGCTGAACGAATTTTCGTTCATTGATTTGGAGTTCGAGGCGTCACAGTGCTCTTCAACACATGGGGTTTCCTCTTCACTTTCCCGTCAACCATGCTCTGCCATACACCAAACCAATTCACTCAAGAATCCCTTGCGCCATCCCCCAGCGATGATCCTGATCCTGATGGCGACTCTTCGATCTGTCAGTCTTGTCAGTGAGTTTTGGGGATGGCCCAGGTCTAAAGCATCCGAATTTGGGTCCCCAGGAACGGCTCTTCATCCGCCTGCTGCCCTTTGCTGGGCTCGTGCCCAAGCACACCGTGCTGAAGGATCGTTGGGCAAAGCGTTGCGCCGATCCCAACTGGCCCAGGAGAAAGATCACGGATGTGAAGAAGGTGGTGGCTGGGCCGCAAATTTCTGGGGGTACAGGATTGGTATCATTTTTTTTGAATGGGGTATCCCAGTGAGGAGGCCTGCCTACCATGGCAAATGTCGTTTCATCATCACCATTTACATGGTGGGATGGAAGGTAGCAAAACGCGAGTGTTCCGCAATTTGGCCAAATCAAGGAGCTGGGAAGCCGAGTAGCAAAATAGGAGACTTCCCCATCCTTTGGTGCGACATATTCAGGATTCCAGCAATACCTGCATTGCATGAAACCGAAGCTGGAAGTCACAACAAAACCGTACAACTGCAACTGAAGGGCGGCCCTTCCATTCGCAAGTCTTGGTTCATGTACCCCTCGTTGTTGCCTAACAATCCCTATCTCACTTTTGGTTGGGCATGTTGGGCACCATCATCAGCCTTTGGACATCATTGGTGGGTTTTGAGGCTCTGAAAGGCAAAGAGACGCCAAAGCGCCAAGCTTCTCGTGGTCGTGCTGCCGCGAACAAGAAGCGTCGTGTGGCATGAGTGGTGACAACTTATGGAACTCAATGGCAGGGGATGCTAGTGAGGCTGAGGCTGCTGAAGGATCTCTAAGGATGTACAAGGAGATGGCATGTTTTTTCTGAAGGAATCGAATCTTTTGGTTGCTTTGGGATGCTTTTGGTATATTGTGGAGTGCTCAGCCTTGACTAGCAAGCCACAGTTCCGCAGACTTTTTGAGTTTGTGAAATGGGAATTGAATCAACAGCAGGGGCAGCTGCGAATCAAATGCTGCGAATCCTTGCTGTTTCCATGGTCGCCAGTGGACATCCCGTGACCCGCTGGCTGCCACAGACGGCATTGACGCATGAGGGATTAGTGAGGCCAAGCATCCTCGTTTTTTGATTTTTCAAATTGGAAGGGTTCGTCTGAGGTATGCTGTAAGAATGCTGGCTCACTAATGAGATGTCGGTGGTCATTGCCCGTCGTTTCTCTCGTTTTTTTCTAGGCAATGTAGCTTGTGCCAAAGCGGCACCTTCACTTCAGTTCATGACTTATGACTAGCATCACGATGATGTCCAGCCCCATACGAGCTGCATCTGAGTAAATGTGACATGCGCCGTGGCGCAGCCGAGAATCTCTAGTTCCGCGAGTCCGAAAAGCCTTTGAGCTGCTTCGCGGCCCAGTATGGTGGAGGTATCCAATCGAACAGTATTGTAACATAACAGAGACAATTCTGTGTTGCTCGGAAGTTGCAAATCCAAGCAAGGCCAAGGGGGAAATTAGGCCACGTTGGCATGTGAAAGATACCTTGAATACAGTTATCTTCATGAGGAAACAATATCACCTGATCATCATGAGGGATCAAAATCCGCCACCCCCTATGACCAATTTGCTGAACGGGCTAGCAACATCAACTTTATCTTCATGAGGGATCAAACTTCGCCACCTCCTCAGAACAATATGTTGATTGGGGAAATATCACCAACTTTATCTTCACGAGGGATCAAAATTAGCCACCCCCTCTGAACAATACGTTGATTGCGGGACATCAACTCCGGGCAAACGTCCAGGTTGCAGCGAACATGTTAAAACACATGTTGAAACCCTATCGACAATAGTTGGCATACGATGGTATATTCTTTAGTGGGATGAGATGGCAGTGAGTTTGGGATGCCACGTGCCAAGTTAAGAACATCATGATTCCAAGTGATTCCAAGTGATTCCAAGCAGCGGAAGAACCGCCCCAGAAGCTCCATCCTTTTGGCCCCAAGGCCAAGTGAAAGCAGCCCAGTGTCCATCGAGGATAGCAGCCCTTGGGTCCCTGAGGTGCACCCCAACCCAGGCTACCAAGGCTCGCAATGGGTGGTGTATTTGGTGGGGCCTTTACCAAAATTTGCACCGATGGGCTATAGATTCTATAGATTGCTTGTTTGATGTTGTTTCTTGTAGTTTTTTTCCTACTCCTCCATCGGTTCTGAGAGATTCAGGGGTTCTGGTCGAGTGATGGGGGATAGAGGATAGATGACAGAAAACAAGTGGGAAATATTGAGATGTTTCTTTATGTTTCTTCTCTGCTTGGCTGTGCTTGTCTTGGCTTTTCAAGCGAGATGGCTTTCGGGTGCCACTGGAGGTAGCGCGGCGGTCTGGTGCTCAGTCTGCCATCCAGCCATGTTGTAGCGGTAATTACCTTGGCGGCTTGCGTGGGTTTGGCCATACATGGGGGCCGTGAAAATCAAAACTGGTTGGTGGTTTCAAATATCGGGGTGATATCACCAACCAGTTTTGATCACCAAAATTTTCAGCTGTATTTGGGGTGATGATTCCAACGACCAATATCTGTCAGCAGGGTTGAAGCCACCACCCACACAATATGACTATGAATATTCTTTACCCTTTTATACCCTTTTAACATTATTTGAACTGCCCACCGGGACATAATGTTAGGCAAAATCATGAAACCTGCATCACCTCGTCTTGGCCACACCAAGCCCAGCTCCACCGATTTTGATTATGGCAATGTTCCGCATGATTGCCACTGGCGGTTTTGGCGACTTTGGCTCCTCTCAGATTAGAACTCAACGTGTGGCAAACATATTCATATGCAGTAAACTCAGCAGACCAGTCAATTCAGATACCGAGCAGCCAGAGAAGCAACTACTGCTAGCTACCAGCAGTGTGGATACCTTTGACTATTTGGGAATTGAGGGGGCTCGCTCTCATCCAATAGCACCGTGGAAACAACCACGACTAGTCCAATTGGCTTCAACAGCCACCAACTTCACATAGTATTTGCCATGAGGCTGTCAGGACGGCATCCAAGAGCTTTTGCCATCTTTCGGAGCACTGCTGCCCTTTGGTTTAGCTGTTTGGGTTGCCTCTGGTTTTATCGATGTTTCGCGGGTGTGACGCCCACGACCTTAACTCGCCTGCGTGGCGTCGCTGGAGTAGGGACGCTCTCGAGCTGCCGCCTGAGTGGATGTCAAAGGCAGCAAAGGCAGGCTGTGGAGGAGGAGGGTGCCGAGAGCAGTGCAAGCGCCGCGCCAAGTTTGGATTGTATCACTCCAATTGGCCCCTTCTCTCCTTTTCGTTCCTCAGCTTGCTCTTTTGACAGTGAGCTGGGCAAAGGCATGACGGATTTGACTACCTCGTCTCCAGAGTTTGCGGTGGAGATGAGTCGCATGCAGCTGGATATGCAGATGGGCCGGGAGCCGGAACCTGAGCGGATGAGGAAACTGGCTGATGGTTTGGAAGCCTCCCACCAGAAGTGGCAAGAGCTGATGACGCGGCTGCAGTTGAGTGGCTAGACGAAGCCTTGGCAGTTGTTTTGCATTGATTTTTTGGCACTTTTTGCCCACTGTTTCCCTGAGACTGGCCAAAAAAGGAACCTCCCCAACAGCAGACAACCATTTACTGCATTGTGAAGGAACTTCAGAGGTAGTGTAGACAGATATGCCGTGTGCTAGTTCGCAGTGCCCCAGGCAGTGACTTCCAGAGCCGGGAGTATTTCAAAATCTCCTTAAGTCACTTGGATGGCCGCAGCATTGATGACCTGGGGAAGATGGTGAAATATCAGGTGGACTGCATGAGGGCCGTGGCTTCTGGCCTAATGCCCCCAGCCCCACCGCTAGGTCTGGACATGTCACCCCCCAAGGAGGGCATGCCATCCGCCACCGCCTCCCCACCGATGATTGAAGCGGAACCCTTTGATAGTTCGGCCTTCACCAGTGAGGTGGTCAGAGAAGAGCATCCTGGTTGGAGGTTTCAAAGATTTTATCAACACACATCGGAATCCTCACACACACACACATATATATATATTTTATATACATATATTGCATAGACTATATGTGACTATTCAGTACAACCCGTTGAACACCGTTGAACTGGTTCGGATTTCTTGCATCCTGCCTAGGAAGATGATCAAAATCGACTTTAGTATTCTTGGGATGGGTGGCTCCTGCCCGGGCAGGTATGATGTCCTGCGGCGGGACCATCGACAGTTGATCAAGATGGGAGAAGCCTATGGAGACTTCGATCCCCTTGGCAAGTTGGCCTTCCTCGATCAGGTGGAAAAAATTGAGGAGCGGTGGGACATCTTCTTTGGACGACTGGGGTTGCTTGGACAATTGAGCCCAGAGTACCGGCAGCAGAGCTCCGACTTTCTGGATACCTGGTGATGAATGACAAGTTTTTAAACTATTTTGGCGGGAGATTCAAGGAAACCCTTTAAAAAATACGGGCAAAGCACAGGATCCAAGTGTTATACATGGTGCCTCAGGGTTTGCGATTTTCGACGCCTAGGATTCTATGGGTCTTACTGCCCAGCAGTTTCGGAAACTCCTGCGGCGAGCACACGATTTGATGCGAAAGGATGCGGAGGCTGAACGAAATTGAAGCAGCTGTGCTGGCTGCAATTGGCTGCTCCTGGGGCCCTTGGCTTCTGGATGCTTCTGGTTTCCTACATCAATTTGTTTGTTGATGGCTGATCTGCGGGCTAAACAGCCTGGAAGCAGCCTGGTAGCAGCTGCAACCAGGTCCAGCCGTTTGATGTGCTGCAGAAAGGTAGGGCAGGGTCGCATGGGCTGTTTTCACCAGAGTGCAAGTCAGACTTCCACAAGGGGTCATGATAGTGCCACTTATTTGGAACTCTGGGACACCAAAGGCCTAGACATCCAGAGTCACCCGGATCCACCGAGCCACCGGGTTTCACAGATCACAGCTGAGGCTCCTTTGATGGTTGACTTGGATTTGCTGGATAGCAACCCAGCGGCAAGCGTGGCGGTGTTTGCTGTAGATGACCAGCTCCTGTTGCAGTGTAGGTGGTCCGGATGAATAAACCATATTGGCTGGCTGGATTTGTGTAATTTTGGCATTCGCTCACTTGCCCTCCATGCGTATCCAGGTGTGAAGGGTATTGACAGACAAGTACTGAGACTGCAGAAATGTTGGTTTCATTTTTACCCTCTGGTAATTTAACATAGCTATTGAAAATCACCATTTATAGTGGATTTTCCCATATAAAATGGTGATTTTCCATAGCTATGTTAAATTACCAGAGGGTAGATTGCCATTTGAACGGTGCGTTATGGGTCGGGGAAGGGGGCGCTCAAAGCGAAAAATCTCAGGACGAGCAAGTGATGGAGACTTGCAGCGATCTCAGCAATAAGCAGGGCTTCCCCAAAAGTAAGGGGACAAAACTATGGGCAAGGTGTAGCTGGCTAGAGTGGGAATGGCTTCAGATTGAGAAGTCCATTCTGTGGCAGAGCCGGCAACTTTTATCTGGTTGGTGGTTTCAAACATTTTTTATTTTCCATAATATATGAGATAATCCTTCCCATTGACTAATATTTTTCAGAGGGGTTGAAACCACCAACCAGTTATGATATACATCCATGAAGCTACATGTATAGGACATACCATATGTATAAGCATTCTCCAAGGGGAAAGCCACCAGCTTTCCAGACCTATCTCTAGGTTCTCCCGTCGCTTGGGCAAGTCGAAATCACCACGGAGGCATCTTGGGATATGGCACGGTAGGCATGTGTTTTGGGATATAAGATATATAAGCATGTATACCGTGTATAGTTATATGTTTACACACACACATACATATACATATACAGATACATATATATATATATATGCACACGCGCACATTTGTGCTCATACACATATCCATGTATCATGGTATTTCAAAACATGATTTCTGACTTTCTGTTGAAAAGACATCAGTTGAACCCCAAGCCAATTAAGATGTGGTGTATCCATGTGTATCCCATGATCCTTGCCAACCCTAAGCTGCCGCTGTTGTGCCACTTTGCCAGGGCGGCTTCCTCGAAAGCTGTCGGCAAAGCAGCAGCAATTCCGGATTCTCCATCTGCGCCACTGCAGGGGAAGCCAAGGGAGAGCCTACAGAAACATAGGAACTGCGGGGAAGAGTTGGTGGTGCAACTTGAAACATGTTGCTCCAAGCAAGAGATCTCGAGGAGAATCACTAGGAATATCATAGGCAATAGGAACACACATGCACGTGTAAGCGCGTAATGTAAGCGCGTAATGTGAGCTAGAGGAGTCGGTGAGTGCCGAGGCTCCGAGCGCCACTGGATGAGCTGAACTTTGCTCGGAGGGTGCGGGAATTGAATCAGATCTTTGATCTTATAAGTTTATATATGTTTATATATGTTTATATATGTTTATATGTTTTTTTTTTTTAAAATCACTTTTGTGGTGTGATAATTTTTCGGGGTCCATCCAGGTAATACGATGTAATACGAAACATCCAGGTCGTGGGCAGGTAGAACAAGATGGTGCCCCATAGTTAGCTAAGTTGGTTTATAACTCCCATAACTATGGTTTATGGCAGATATAACTATAGTTAATGGGGTTTATAAACCAACTTATAACTGGGGGGGCACCATCCTGAAGGCCCAGCACTGTATTCTTTGCCGATGATCATCGCACATTGCAGGCCTCCATCCCCGTGTTGTCAGCGGAGGATCTCCGGAAAATCACGCCGAGGACCGTCGGACCAGTCCCAGGGTGGGTCCTTTTGGCATTGGTTGGTTGTTTAGCTGGCTGCTTGGTGAGAACAATTGACATTGACACTATTTTTCAGTACTTTTCATGACTTTGTCACTGAGTGGTTTCATTGTTGCTTGATGATTTCCGGCAAACTAATTGGCACCACAAGTGCTTCATAGCGCCAGGACTAAGGCGGCTCCCAGATCGGCCAGATCCAGTAGCAGATGGGTGCTACAGGGCATGTTGGAACACGGCCAGGAAAAGAGAGGGATTTGGATAGCAATTTTCAAAGGTGTTCGATTGGATGCCTCATCATACTCTTCAGATTTCTGTTTTGGGTGGACATCAATTTCTGGAGGCATCATGAGGGGGTGTCATTGGGGGGTATGAATCACACATTTGGATACCTAATAAACAGTATTATATAATTATATATTGATGGTATACTAATACGTATTATAGTTTATACCATTATAGTTGGGATGGTATAATTATAACATTAATTAATTAATACCCAACAGTATTATTAATTATAATACGTCAAAATTATGTTGGGATGGGCTACTCCACTAATAAGAACATCTCAATTTCTGTGGCTGCCACGGTCTGAATTCTTGATGGACTGTGATGGTGCAACCATGCTGGGTGCCATGGGAATCTGCCAGGCAAAGCCCACGCAGAATGACGAGGCCTTAAGCTGGCATAGCTGCAGCTACCCAGCCAAAGAAGACGTGAATCCCTGCAATTGTTTCACCGCTGGAACACAAACATGGACCGCAAAAACAGGTCTTTCACCCTCAAAAGGTGATTTTGGAAGGCACGATTTCAATGATTTTCTACATTTTTCCATATGTTTCCTATTGGATGTGGCCATTGTTGGGGTTACCCTTAGCAGATTCTTGGGATCTGCCACAGGCCCAGGCAAAGCCTCCGGTTTGGCGTCATGGTGGGCAGGCGCCTCCATCGAAGGCCGCCGTCCATGGCAGGGTGGGAATATGGTTTTCCTTGAAACAATGGATATTCTGAATTTCTGAATATTCTATATAAGTACTACGAAGGAGTTTTGTTGAAACAAACACACGGATTATATGTATACATATACTGTACTTATGCATATTTACACGCACACACACACACATACACATACACATACACATACATATACATATACATATACATATACATACACACACATATATATATATATATTATGTATGATGTATATACATATATAAATAAAATGCTCGTGGCATGGTTTTCTCATGGACTTCCCGTGGCAGGTGTCGGCGACAAAGGCCAGGAGCATCACGCCGAGGCCAACGAATTCGCGGACTTCGATGGAGGCGCACATCATACCGTACTGCCACCTGGCTGCAGTCAGATTGGGATGAAGATCAAAACATATCAAAAACCCTGTCAAAAACCCGTATGAAATACATTGAAATACATGGAAGTAGCATATTTTGGGGGAATGAATCGATGATCATCCATTTATGTAGCAACTTTTTTTTTGGGTGTGAACACAAGGGTGGGTTTTGACCCACACCCAGATCCAAGCTATGTCATGAGTGGAAATTAGTTGCCATGGGATGCTTCAAAACAAATGACCAGGTAGAATTGGTATAGCAGCAGTCCTGACTCAGTACTGCTCAGTACTGCAGATATATATATATATATAGTACAGGCGATTGTATGGCGATTGTGCATATATCATCATATATCCAGATCCGTTTGCACAGTCACAGCATGTTACAATGTTCCTATGCGGTCTTGCGGATAGAACAGGGGACAAACGCAACATTGCGGCCCGAGGCAAAGAGTTTGAGGATGTTTTTCACTTCACGGCGCAGCTCTGTCGATGAGGCTTTCCAAAAAAAAAACACGACCGATGGCCTGTGCCAATCAGATGGTGACCTGTATTTTTTCATGTTTTTTTCCCCACAAATTCTTGGTCTTGGCGGTGATTCAGTGATTCTGGAAGGAGTTTGAGTCTTTGAGTGTCAGTTGTGCTGCCGGGGCTTGCAGGTTGCCTCAGCCTACATCCTGCTGTTGACCTTGGCAGTGATGTCGTGTAATCAGTTGGCTCTCGTGGTAGCTGTGAATAGAGAACCTATGTCTTACACACCTCCAAGTACACATGTATTTAGATATAATTTGGATATATTTAGATGCATAGTGACACACTTATATACACATACGTGTGCATATGTTCAGGTCTATGGATCATCAAATCATCTCAGACATTTGGTGTCGAGAGTCCAGAAGCGCTGTGCGTGCAACCTGGCCCATGGTCGGGTGGCGCGAGCGTTTGGTAGCTCGGCAGTTCTGTTGAAGACACAGGACTGGATTGCAGAGCTACTGAATGCGTCGCAGTCCAGTGTGGCTGTGCTGGTCAGGTTCAACACATGTCCAGCCAGCTGATGTCAATGCTTTTTGCCTTTATGGTGGCATCCCTGATCACTTCACCATATTTCACCAAAACCTCGCAGTTAGGTATGAATGACTCTTCGTAACATCATATTTGGATGTGGTTTAACAGTGGATCAGGGCAATTTTTTTACTGAGTCTCACTGACCCCCTCAGGCCGTTCAGAGCTTGCACTGTTTGGGGCTCTCTCAGAATTGGCGCGTGAGGATGTACCAGTTGGCCGGCCTTGGAAGGACACTGCAAGTCAGCCCCTTTTGGAGTTCCAAGTGGCCCAGAGGATGATTCATTGAAATTCATTGAACAGATTCTCAGATCTTCTTGATTATTCTTGCGATGGTTTTTCCATCTTGAATATATGGCGTAGCCGTGCCAAACCCAGCTATTCGGCCTCTTGGAGATTGCCGTGGGACATAGCTGGCAGGAGAAAGGGCGACCGATGTGTTTCAGGGGAGCCGGTTGCATAGCTGGCAAAAGATGATCCGGATGAGTGTTATCTATATATTATATATACATAAGTGTATACACAATATTTATCGATATTGACCTATATGCATACACCCATCCATCTACTGCATCTATTTCTCTATCTACCTATTTATCTATCTATCTATCTATCTATCTAATTCTAATCTAAAATCTAATCTATATATAAATCTAAATCTAATCTAAGCTAATCATATGTTATCTTGTCTTGTCTTATCCTATTCTATTCAATTCTAATTTAATTTAGTCTAGTCTAATCTAATCTAATCCATCTATATAGCTATATTTATAGGTCAAAATTGAGAGTCCCGGGGCTCGTTTTGGCACATGGTTCTTATTGTTGTTGTGCGTCATCGTTCCAAATTTTTAGGATCCTTCTGTTTTTGGATGCCGATGCCCCAAGCTGACCCATATCCAATTCAAATGGTGGTCAAGAAGTGTGGACCGCAAAGCCGAGACTGTTGGTCTCCTCGTGAAAATGGAGCATGAAATGGTCACCATTGGTCCATGCAAGGGACTGCTAGAGGCTGTAACGTTATTTGGATCGAAGGCGAGTGTGAAGCGAAAGTTAGAGACTTGCAGTCCTGACATCGGAGCAATTTGGCCCAAAGAGTGCCTAGAGTTTGAAGGGGCCAGGTGCTGGACAGGCACCGAGACTTCGCCTTACGTCAGCATGAGCTTGAGCCTCAGTATCCTCAGTGGACAATTCCCAGCGATTTTTCATGGTCAGATCGGTCACCGATGTTCGCCGTCAAAGTATCGATTTGTTCCACGGCAAGGCTTGCAGGAACTGCTAAGAGAACAGCAGTCCATTGTGGCAGAACAGTGAGTTGGCTGCAAGGGCCGATGCCTAGGGGCACCCGGTGGGTTGTGTCATAGGGGGCTACAATGTTTGGGGAGCTTGCTTTATTGTCATGCTGTTGTTTAAACACCGGGAATCAACATTGAGTGGAGGACTCTTTGCTTAGATGTGCTTGGTATGCCTGTGCTGTGAATGATGTTCATCTCGATTCACCAGCATTCCTGGGTATTTAGACTAGTGTTACCTCGTTGCAGCATTCCTAGGGATCACTCTCCTGCACGATTCCAAGCAGTTCTGCTATCACAGCAAACAGCCTCGATCCCCAATTCTGCCCCGAGCGCACCCACTTTGCAGCAGGCATTATAATGAAAATTCCCATCATTACCACCATCGCTCAATTATTCACATCCGGATAGGATGGGGTGATCTTGTGCCTCATAAGGTCACTGCTTCATCTCATTTTCCCGCTTCAATTGCTGTGGTATTATGCTTACAGCGCTTTCAAAAACCCACCATGCGCGTCAGCCATTCACAGCAGAGGCACAGCATGAGGGAGGAGTTTCAGCGGATGCAGCCTGACAGCGATGGGGACCCTGGTTGGAGTCAAAAAAAAACCGTCAGATCATTGAGAAATTTGAGATATCAAAAAACATTCAGGATTTGCATTGGTTTTGCTTGGCACCAATTCACATGAATTCACCAGATATCGGCTTCATGTATCATATTGTTGGGTGGACTTTCAGCTTCCAGCTCTCTGATGGTGCATGGAACATGGTCCCTAATGCTTGGCTGTTGTCCTGGGTTGATAGACGCCCATACATAAGATAACATAACATGACATGACGGGATATAAGATAGCAAAGCATCACATAATGATATGAGATGGCGATGAAGAGAGAGAGAGAGAGATAACATAACATAACATAACGTAACATAACGTAACACAACACAACGTAACACAACATAACACAACAGTTCATTTCATTCCATTTCATTCCATTTCATTCCATTTCATTCCATTTCCATTTCATTCCATTTCATTCCATTTCATTCCATTTCATTCCATTCCATTCCATTTCATTTCATTCCATTTCATTCCATTTCATTCCATTTCATTCCATTTCATTCCATTTCATTCCATTTCATTCCATTTCATTCCATTTCATTCCATTTCATTCCATTTCGTTCCATTCCATTTCATTCCATTTCATTCCATTCCATTCCATTCCATTCCATTCCACCACATACACAGACAAACACACACTGCTGAACTCATCACTTGTGTATAATACTGTACATATTATGTACACACACATATATATAATTATATAATCACACACACACAGATATATATATATATAACGCATGAGCTTGTATTCCCCCCAGCGGTTGAGGCAGCGGAAGTTGGACGACTTCATCAAATCCGAGCTGCACCGCCTCAGCAGTCGCTTGGATGCCACCGATGTGCGCATCCAGCGGCTGATCAGTGGCGAGGCGCCGGCGAATCCCAAGCAGTTCGTGGATGCTGGGCGAATCCGCTGGGCGAATCCAAGGGCCCTGGGGGTATCATGTTGAAAGATCATGAACGATGAAAACATGTCGTATTTTATAAAGTATATTCATGCAGAAATTGTATAATTATATATATATATACATATACACACAAATGTACAAGCATGGGATATATATATATATAGTAATATAAGATGTATGTATACATAGGCATTAATATAGCTTTAAACCACTAAGACGAACATAAGCAGATATGAACCAAAAAACAGGGCCATCTGAAATGATCCGGGGCACAGATTTTGCATGATACATGATAGACCCACGGGTTTCCATTCTGCGAACAATGTGCCAAAGAGAAAATGCATGCATTGTTTTAGATGTCAGGAGATGAGGAATAGTATGAGCCGGGCTCTTCAGTTGATCTATATATTGGGCGGTTGTAAACCAAGAGCCTGAGAGCAATCATGCCTAGGAACATTGCAACTACATTGCTTGGGTTGACCCAACTTATGTTTTGAAGTCGGCTCAGTTGAGGAATCTGCGCGTGGGCTCTTCAAATCAGAGGACCCTTGCTGTCCTCTCACAAATGTCAGCTGTCAGCCTGTCAGCCCCTCAAAAATTCACCGGTGATGCCGCCTCATTAATCGAAGCAAGAAGCACCAGCATGAAGCATCTCGAATTATTGCATCGTCACATCCAGAAATTCCACTAAGAGATTTCTCCCACAGCTTCAATCAACAAATCCCATCGCCATCCCCATCTCACCCCAATCCCGTACCCTTATCTGATTGGTTGATGATTGGATGTGATTATAACACCCAATATATCCCAGTAGAATCTGCTAGATGAGGGATTAGCACACTCCATGGTCCATGACCTGGGAAGTCCATGGGGAAATCCACCCTTCACCAACCACCATTCTGCAGACCAGGACCTCAACTCGCAGACCTCTGAGCCGCCGAAGGACCCCGGCCCCGTGCGCTTCGCGCCGCGCGCCGCCAAGGCCGCTGCCCGGCGTGGGCCGGCGCCGGCGCCGGCGCCGCGGCTGCCGATGAGTCGCCGGGGCTCGGCGCCCACGTTGCAGACGGGGAGCGTTTGGAAGATCCTTGGTTTCTGATGGTTTCTGGTTAAACCTTGGGTAATCCATATTAATCCATCATACTAAGGGGGAAGAGCTCGACTGGAAGTTTTATAGAAGGGGGTAGCATCTCGATTGTTCTATAACTTTTATAAATGTAATCCGTAGGTCATTTTTTTCCAGAGTATCTATCTGAGAGTAGCATGAAATTTGAACGTTGGATGTGCACCAGACCCTGAGGACTGCACCGGATCACCTGGAGGCCTATAAGAGGGAAGATGGCTTTTGTTTGCGCCAAGTTGTTGTCTGACATTTTCAACATAAAATCACAACAGACAAAGTAAAAACATGTAAAAACCCCTTCACCCAGTAGTTCCAATGCACGGTTCAACTCAATATAAAGTGCATCAAGTCATCTGCAATGTGTGCACGGCCGGCTTTCTTTTCCGAGTCTGCATTGCTGAATCCAACGTCTACGCATCAGAAACGCACGCATGACTTTGGTTTGTCGATACTTTATGCCCTCGGGTCATTCGGCCAATGGGACATCCCCCCAATATAAACCCATGATTTTCATTGATTTTCCATATTTTCACAGGGATTTCATGGATTTTCCATATTTTGGCCAGGTAAAAATGGTGTCGCTGCCAGGTTAAGGCCCAGCAGCTGCACAAGGCGTGTCAAAAGGCTCCGCAGCAGGACGTGTGGACGGAGCCCACGGAGGGAATCACCTCCACGGTGCTGGACCACGCGGAGGAAGCCTTGCGGCGATGCTTTGGGAAGACCAAGGAAGGCCCCGGGGAGGACCACCGGATCACCGGGGGGATGGGTCCATAAGATTTCCATAAGGGGGTTGAACAGCAAATAACAGCAAGAAAAATATGGGAATTTCCACTGGTTGAATGTTTTAGCTTTAAACAACTTTGATTTCACCATAAGCCATGGATGGGGATAGTGGATAGTAGCAACAAAACTGTGGTAAACTCAACTACCAGTATGATTTAAGTCATCTAAGTGCAATAAATAGATGATATAACCATTGGTATGGCAGAATGTATAATTAGTGGTGATTTAACTATTTAAATGATTTGACCACAACAAATGATCATTGATAGTTGATGGGATGTAACAGAAACAAACATAACATAGGGTATCTGAAGGTTGTGTTAAGCATGCTTTCGCAGTGGATAGTCATGGACGGGGATGGTGGGGTTTGACTGATCGATGGGATAGAAATGGATGGGATGCAGCCAGCAAACGTGGAGACGTGGAGCGATTTAACTATGAAATTTAATGATTTAACCATCATTAATAATTAAAGAGGGGGAATAGCTGATATAGCTAACTATTGGGATGATACTCGATGGGGATTTGGATGGATGAACAGAGAAAAAAGGCTTGGGAGTTGGATGGTGAGAATAAATGATGCCTGACTAACAAAAAGGTGAAAGAGTCACGATAATCCCTCGGCCCCGCAATTTTGCATATTTGTTTGGGGGGCGGTTGACCTAGTTGTGAACCCCCAAAAGATGATGCTACTGTATGGAGGAATGTTGTGTAAGGCCAGTTCAAGAAGCCTGTTCATAGAATTTTTGTGGGTGGATGGGTGCAGTCATTTGAATGTATTTGGAGATGATATCAGTGATACAGTAATATGTGATACATTAATTGTTTGTCTGCGATATGAGATGGCTGACCACGCCGTTGCTGAGGGTTCCACTGGCAATTATTGACGTGAATGGGTATTATATCGGGATTTTCTTCATGCAAACGCCCTACCCTGTGGAGGCCAGCGCTATGCCAACAATCCCTTGTTGGGCCTCAATGCCATCTTCAAACGCCTGGACCAAAACCATAGCGGCAAAGTCGATCGCTCGGAGTTCCTTCAGTTGTGTGGCATTCTGGACTTCAATGGCAGCACGGACCTGATGAATGCACTCTTCAATCGATACGATTTGGATAGGCCTGGGGCATGGATCACCTCAGCTGCCTGTGTGAGTTTTGGATATGAATCAATGTCAGACGTGAGTTTTTTAATTATCAACTTCGATGTTCCCTTTGGAAAGGAGATTCCAGCCCAATGCCTGCAGGTCAAAGTACCTATCCATTGACGAGTTTGGCCGCATGCTCTTCAAATTGGATGGAGACCCACATGGACACTTGCTGACAACCTGATGCAAACACGATATCGGCGATATCCAAACTGCAAAGGAACAGAGAGTCTTGTTCAGAACCTCGCTGCTTTTACCTATTTTTCCCCGGTCCCCCGGTCCCATTGCCTGGTTTTTCCAACGACAGGAAAGGCCCTCAGTACCATCGCCAAGATGAGAGAAGCCTTGGCTTTGAGAGCTGGTGGATTCGAGACGCTGAAAGCCATGGCCAATCAGTTTCGCATCATGGATCATGAGACTCGATTGCTTGCAGGGAGAAGATGGATGAACATGTAGTGTTCAAATGTGTTCAACTCTTGTGACCCCCATTCATAGACAATCTGCCACCAGATTCTGGCGTTTTACTGAGATTTTGATGATTTTCTATTTGTTTCTACGTTCGACTACGTTCCCAGCCTCATCTCATCTCTTTGGCAATCCCAGGATCACTCCGGTGAGCTCACGAAGGAGGAGTTCATGACTGCTCTCGACGTGTCCCTTGGCCCGTCAATGGCTAAGGTGCAATGGCTGTATAATTTGCAGTCTTACGGGTATGCACACATACACGTATGCCTCCGTGTAAATCTATGTTCTCTTATAGCAATGTATGACATCTATCTATTTACATCTATTTACTATCTATTTACTTTGATATCTACACATGTATAGGTTGTATGCATACGTGCTGTATCACGTTCCGTTAAGCACCGTTGTTTTACTCCAGCGATGTTTCGGAGGTTCTTCAATTGCTTCAACCTGCGCTTCAGCGCGGCTGAAAAGCTGAGCCTCTTCAGCACCTTCGATCGCGATGGCTCCGGCAGCGTCAGCTACGACGAGTTCATCCGTGGTGTTCGCGGAGAGATGAACGACTTCCGCTTGGAGTGGGTGAACAAGGCACCACGAAATGGCACGTTTTGGCAAGTGGCCTTTGCCACTGGATGCCCAGGGAAAAAAGATTAGTTATATAATGTTATAGCAATTATTGTTATAGTAATACGTATATATATATATATAATAATAAATAGTAATAATAATAACAATAATAATAAACAAAGACATAAATAAATCCATTAATTCAATAATTACATAAATCAATATAACACACACGCACACACACACATATATATACACCTTATGAGTTATATCACAAAAAGCATGTGATTGATCCTTTTGTGATGTTCGACTGCGCAGTTCCTGAACTTCTGGAAGTTCTTCAGGCCTTCAGTATCCTCGACAAGGATGGCTCTGGCGTGGTGACCACGGCGGAAATGTCGGGCACCTACGATGTCTCTGCCAACCCGGCAGTTCAAAGCGGAAAGGCGCCCTGCAGCTTGATGGTCATGTCATGGTCAGGCCATGGTCATGCCAGATTATTGATGTGCTGCTTTTGACGTTCAAGTTTATAAGGCTCGGTAAATTCTGAATAGATGAAGTTGAAGGGTGCAGCGCAGCGTACGTTCCAAGAGCCAAGACGAGCCAGCCATACTGCACAGGAGCTGAGCTCCATTTGTTGCTGAGATTGCCCATCACACACCAACACTGGCAGTGGCAAGCTTTTGACACAGGTAGTTTAGAATTTACCAAGTAGGGTCCAAGTAGGGTCTCTTTGACATTGAGCGCCTATGTACTGTAATCCTATGTGCCTTTCACAGATGAGTGATGTCAGGTGACGCCCCAGCAAGCCATTTCGCAGTTCATGCAGCATTTCGATCAAAATTCGGATGGTCAGATTACCCGGGAGGCTGGGGGTTGGTCATGGAAAGAGTTTCGTGACGATGGCAAATGATGCTAACACGGGTCTGAAACCCCAGAAGATACGGCGAATGATGACTAATCAATGGATTTAGATGGATTTAGGGGTAACTATGGGTCACTACCTGATTTTCAGACAAACCCATGCCTGTCTTTGATGATCCCAAACTTGCTTGAGTCCAAGCAGGAGTTCACCGAAAACTACGAGTGGGTGAGTGCGTCTATTGACAGTAGCTCTGACTGCAGATTGGATTATGATGGATTATGATGGATTATGATGGATTATGATGGATTATGGCAATAGTTCGGGGGCCATCCATCATAGCCTGCAATCTAGACGGGGTGTTCTCAGAAGTTCATGTCAATACGACTGATTTAAAATTAAACGCTGTGGATAACATTTCCAGAATTTGGCCAGTTCTCGATTTTCTTGATGGAGCTCCTGGTATTGCGCCAGCACGGCACAATACGGCACATCCCAGATGATGACTATTTCGAGCTCATGATGCGAAATGCCTGGCACATTGCCGGTGGCTGGAAGCTCAGGGCGAAAAAAACGAGAATGATTTGCATGTGTACAGCCATGGAAATGGGTATATAACTCATTTGCAAATGGCCAATTTTCATCAATTTTCCATCAAGACAACTTCGATCACTGGAGATTTTACAGCACGGCAATGCTATATATATAATATACATCCATCTTAACCGCTGAAGGCGAAGGCTGGTCAGCCAACACCTCCAACCTTCGAGTGCTGGTGAAGCATACTCGCTCTCCAGACGAGGCCCGCCCAAGATGGTTGAAATATGGGTATGGATCAATACCTATTAATACCATTTGTTAGGGGGATGAACATCCATTTACCAGCTATTTTGATGTTCACCAGGGGTACAAGGTTTTGACACACTGCCATATGTTGAAATGATCTCCCCAGCTGCAGATCCTGCAGATCCTGCAGATCCTGCAGGTGGTTTGCGTGCTGAATGACTTGGGCCTTCCAAGAGATCCCGCCCTGCGCACCATGGAGGTGGTGAAACGTTTGAAGAACCAAGGGGTGCCGTGGCGGATCAGCCGTGGCGGATCATGGTCAGGAGATGTCAGATGTGATCAAACCAGCAGGTAACAGTGGAAAAGTTGGAGGTTTAAACCAATTGACTGCTGATAAAAACCATCTTTTACCATGGTTTTTACCATGATGTACCTACACTTTGACCAATTCTGTCCAACATTTCTGAGGGATTTTGAGTTCCTCAGCTCAATGTTGGCTAAGGTGGCCGACATTGCCAAAATTGAGCGGCTTGAACTGAAAGTGGACAGAAAATACACAACGTCGATGCACGATTTGTGGCATGGAAGTTCTTTTCTTTCTGGGGTCTTGCCATTGTTGATTGTGTCTAAACATCCCATTGCTCCCATTGCTTGTTTTTTTTCTAACCAACTTTTGATGGTCACCAGGTTTTGCGGCTGAACTGCAACAAGTTCATACAAGTTCCGGGGCCAGCGCGGAGCGAAGCCTCGTGAGGGTCTCTGGGGTCAGGTACAGTCACTTTTGTTGTGGGTCAAAACTGTCAAAACAGGTGAAGTTTCGGGTCCCCAAAAATAAAACAGAACAAATCAGAATAGTTTTTTTGCATGTTCATCATGTTCATCTCACCAGGTCCAAAGCCATTGAAGTCTTTTCTCGATCTTAAAGTATTGACCCATCCCCATGTCCCAAATCGCCAAAAAGCTGAGCAGCTGGACAAAGTGGCTGCCAGTTTACGTTCTGTTTCAGGTGTGGGGCGTTCTGTTGTAGATAGCGATGGCGTTTGATGACCAGTGAGTGAAAATGCTGCACCTTGGGTGCAAGGTTGGAAGTGGTTTACATTTGAAAAGGCTGTATGCCCTCCAAGAAGCCACGGCGAGACAAGTGAACGGAGAGATGTTCACAACCCTACTGCATCGCTCTCGTTTCTCAAGGATTTTAGAGTCCTGGCCTGTACGAAGGATACTAGAAAGCTTGCAGTTTACAAACAGCAAAGACAAACATACATCCCACACCAAGACTCAACCAGGACATGTTACTACCATTTGCATTCGTTTGAAAACAGTTTGGCCGGAAGCGGTCCCTTTTTCTCCGCCCTTTCGATGCCCTGCCTTTATGGAGCTCCTTCCGCACGCTGGCCCTTGCCGGCGCTGCCCAGCCTTTCTTCCTTTCCAAGTTGTTGGAAGGCGAGTTCAAGCCTATGGCGGAAACGACCCCAGTCCAAGCCCATTTGCAGTTGCAAGTCCTGTGACATGGCCAGTTGGGTTAGTCGTGTCAGTTTCATCATGGGAACATGATGGGAAGATCAAGCACCCTCTGGCAATTTGAGGAGGCAATGGGAAATGCCGAAATACCTAAGTTGTTTCTTACCAGAGGGTGCGTCCGCCATCCTGACATGCAAGTAGAACCAAAAAATGCCAAATCTTCTTATTACGAAATCCGTCCGAGAACCTGTCCGACAATGGGGGATCCCACTGTCGCTACAGTCAAGTGGTTTAGTCGCATCGATTTGTGCTATGTGTATCCCCGGACTCCACTGAGCAACCGCATCTGCCAAACTGCTGCTAAACTGCTGCTAAACTGCTGCTACTAGTAGATTGCCACCAGACTTCTCCTCTGGTGCTGCTAGCCTGTTGCTGGACTGCCAGACTCTTGCCGGGCTGGCGCTACACTGCTGCTAAGTGGCGCCGGGCTGCTGCCAAACTGCTGCTCCACTACTGCTCGACAGCTTCTACACTCACTTGTAAATGTATGGATTTGGCCTTGGCCAAACATGATGGGACTAAACCAGCCGACTGTAGCTTGGGTTTCCCGGAGATCATACCAAAAAATCCACCAAATCACTTTTTCTTTCTAGTTCACCTTTTTTGCGGACGGACTTCCAATCTATTGCAGATTTGCCCATTGCCAGAGGGTTTCCCATCCTCTGAGGCAATGCAGTGATGGTCTTTCTCACATCACCTGAAGGTATCAAGGCGTTAAGCGCTGCCTCTGGGGATGCGGAGCTCCTGGTGCGGCTGGGCGGGTGCAATCGGAGGCAGGGAATCGGTGACGGAGCTGTTGGTTTGTCATTGGATAGACATACCCACAGACAATGTGATCATATGTGTGTGTATATAATTATATAATTATATATATATATACATACACACGACAAATGCATAATTAATCATAATTAATTAATTAATTTTTTAGTAAATTACAGTAGTAAATACACACACTGTCAGGAAACAGACCCTATTCCAGTCACCACCTGCCATGTATAGGCTAGCATGTTGTACATGAGAATTCATTTAAAACTTATGGCCATGACTTTGGCTCAAGCATCAGCGTGATAGGAAAACAAACTGCTTGCTGCATCTTGGGGCTGTGCGCCCCGCTTTCATGGTAGCGGAGCCTTCGGGCTTAGCACTCTGCGGTTAGACCCGCGGGTGCTGCTGGCTGCGGATTGCCCCGCGCCAGCAGTTGGTTGCGGGTCAGCCCCGCACCAACAAGTGGCTGCGGGCTAGCCCCGCGCCACAGCCAGTTGCGGGCAGACCCGCACTGGCAAGACGGCTCCTAAGAAGAAGCCGAACAAGCGTGGGAAGCGCTCGGCAGAGCGCACTGAGGCCCGGCAACAAAGGGGCCAAGAAAGAAGGAGGCTCGCCCAACAGGAGCGGGTCGAGACGAGTTATCCCGAACTAGTAGGGGGAGCCAGTTCATCTCGGGAAGCCCCCACTAGGACGGTTGTCGTAGAGGACACAACCGGCCCGAAGCCAAGAGTAAGAAGGACTCCCAGAAAGAGGGTCAGAGAAGAAGGGGGTGTACGAGTGAAACGCCTGGGTGTCACCCTCATCAACCTAAGGGAGCGGGAAGCACCGCCCCTTAGACTCAGGTCAGTTGCAAGGGCCGGGACAGGTGCCAAACTCAGGTCAGCTCCAAGACGGGAACAACATAGAAGGCAGGTTCGTGAGAACTACGCCGAGGGTGCCAAGGCGATCCAAGCAGCAAGAGGAGTCTGGCATCAAAGGAGGTTTGCCCAACGAGTTCAGCTGACAAGGAGCATTCGAGCTCTTACACCAAGAGGCACCGTCGGAGAACAGGTGCGCAGGCAACTTTCTGAGGAGTGCTCGAGTTGTGACGAGCGTACCAAGAAGAACAGACCAGAAGCTGCAAAGTTTGCCAACAAAAGGCTCAAGAGGTTGACCTTTGTCCCTGTCAAGCCTGAGTTGACACCGCTATTGCAGAAGTACCACGTTCCAACGACCAAGAAAGCTAAGAAGAAGGTGGTTGAAGAGGACGACGAGCCGGACACCACCAACCCTGTGAATAAGAAGAAAGATGGACCCCCAGATCAATCAGATGGAGATGGGGACAGCCCAGATTGGGGAGCAGATGACAGCTGTGCTGCAGCAGTTGCAGCAAACTAACAATCTGGTTGGGCAGATGGCCCAAAGAATCACCTCTCAGGAGGAGCAGATCCTGAGAATGCAAGCTGAGAGGGCACGTGCAATCTCCATCAACACAGTTGAGGAGGTGCCCAGGAATTCTAGCGCAAACGCCGCTAGTTCCTCAGGTTTTGGAATTGTGGACACCAGAACCTTGGGGAAACCAGAAGTATTCAAAGGGGATGCAACAGAGTTCCCCGATTGGTGTTTCATCTTCAGGTCATACATGTCTTGCATCAACGTTGCATACAATGACCTGATGGACCGGGCTGAGAGAAGCCAAACGCCATTGCCCAACAGAGCGCTCTCAGAAACAGAGAGGACACTCTCAGGCCAGCTTTACTTCGTGCTGGTCATGCTGCTGAGGAACCGGGCATTGGACATAGCCTACAATGCTGGAGTGTCAGAGGGCATTGAGGCCTACAGGAGACTCTACCAGCAGTATCACCCCAAGGTGGCGTCAAGGTTCGTGGGGAGTTTGTCCCTCATCTTGGCCACTAAGTTTGGCACAGACATCGAGGCCGAACTCGAGAGCTTCGACAAAACAGTGCGCCGGTACGAGATGGAGTCGGGGAAAACCTTAGATGAAGAAATACTTTTGGGTATAGTAATTCAAGGGGTTCAGGACCAATCAATGAAAGAACATCTCATCAAGAATGCCGCACGTCTCAATACGTATGAAGCTGTCAAGACTGAATTGTTGGAGATGGCTAGGACTAACCGTGTCCTGCAGTCCATGCCGGTTGCAATGGAAATTGGTGCAACCCCCAACGCCAAAGGAAAAGGAGGTAAGAAAGGTAGTAAAAAGGGTGATGGAAAGAATTCCAAAGGTGACTCCAAAGGCAAGGGTAAAGGTACCCAACAAGCCCCACAAAATCCAAACAAGGACAAATCCTGTTTCTACTGTGGTAAGCAGGGGCATCTCAAATCAGAATGCAGAAAACGTATCAGTGATGAAAAGAATGCCCAAGGTAAAGGTAGCAGTAAGGGTAAGCCAAAGGCCAAGGCTAACCCCGGGAGCGGTAAGCCCCGCCCCAATGCTGCAAGTCCTGATGATGAACCAGAACCACTCAGCGCCTACCCTGAGGAGACGCTCATTGCAGCTGCCGTCAACAATGGCACGCAGGAGATTTTGGTGGACACCGGGGCTGGAAGTCACTTGTTTGTAAAAGGGTTTGATAGCCATGCACGTTCAGTTTCAAAAGGGTCAAACGTTGGTATGGTTACGGTTACTGGTCAACCCTTAATCACTGGGGAGTACAAGAAAAGCACCATAAACACAGATGCTGGGAAATTCACGATCGAATACGCAGAGTCTGACAAGATCAACTTCTCAGTGCTCAGTGCTGGCAAGGCGGCACAAAGAGGCACGTGGACTGTGATTGGTCCAGACGCTCAGTTTCTTGTCCCCAGCAAATCCAGTGAATTCATCAAAGCAGCAATTGAGAAGACCCCCAACAAACTTGGGTTGGTAAAGAAAAGGGGCGTTTATTGGTTGCCGGTTTCACTTGAAAAGGGTTCAACTGGTCATGATGACAAGCCCTTAGCAACCATGGTAGATAAAAGCCCTGGAGGGGTAGCGGGTAATGCCGCATCCCAAAGTGCGGGTAGCACCGCCAGCTGTGTGGGAAGCACCACCGGCCAGGAAGTGATGGCAGCCATCAGACCTGCCAAGAAAGCTGTTCCAGCGGAAGAGTTGGAGGAAGAGGCGCGAGAACCGGGTGCAGTTGGGGAAATGGAAGTAGAGGACAGGCAACAGGTTGAACCCCCTCTCCCTGAACTTGGGGAACCGCCTGCAGAACCATCTGAACCAGCAAGGCCAGTAAGAGCCAAGAAAATCCCAGATACGGTCACCAAAGCCGAGTATGACAACCACACGATTACACACCTTCCTTTTAGAAATTGGTGTGAGTTTTGTATGGCTGGAAAAATTCGTGAGGATAGTCACCGTAGAAGAACTCCAGGAGACGACAAGGAAGTCCCCAGAGTTTCAATGGACTATTGCTTTTTGGGCAGAGTTCTTGACAACACCAAGTCTGAAGAGACAACGGTGGCTGAGTTGAAAGAGCCAACAGAAGAAGCAGAAGGAGTCATGCCCGTTTTGGTAGTCACTGACGAAAGAACAGGCTGCGTTTTCAGCAGCGTTGTGCAAAAGGGAGTGAATGATCACGCCGTCAATGTGGTAGTAGAAGCTTTGAAGTTTTGTGGTAGACAGAAAGCCATCCTGCAAACAGATGCCGAACACAGCATCAAAGCACTTGCAGAGGCATCAGCCGTGAAGTATGGCAAAGAGGTGCAACACCAAACTGCGCCACATGAATCTCACGCGTCCAATGGGGCCGCTGAAAGGGCGGTACTGGAGCTCTCGCGACAGGTGCGCACAAACGTGAACGCACTTGAATCAAGGTACAAGGACTTCAAGCTGAAAGTTTCCAGTGTTTCATACCCGTGGCTTGTACGCCATTCAGCATGGCAATTGACCAGATTCCTGGTGAAGGCAGATGGGAAAACCCCATATGAACGACTCAAAGGTCGCGAATACAAAGGTGAAGTTGTAGAGCCATTTGAAACTGTGCACTACAAACTTGCGCAAGACGCCAAAGGCAAGCTGGACGCTCAGAGCGCCATTGGCATTTGGGTTGGAAAATCCCTGCAATCCGACGAACACTATGTCGGAACAGCAGACGGCATCCGTCGCTGCAGAAGTGCATGGCGCAGGCCAGAAGGGCGACGATGGGAGCTGAAAAGATTCGAGGCTCTCAAGGGCGTTCCGTGGCAACCCAAAGGCGAGCCAACCTTGATGCCAGGAGCCCCAGGCACACCAAGGATTGCAGCGCCAGGAACACCAAGCGGACGCGCCCGAGGAGTGTACATCACAGTGGAACGGCAGATTCGCCATGGATCCACAGAAGGATGCCCAGGCTGTCACAGCTCAGACGACAACCCAAAGTCACACAATGCAACATGCCGAGCAAGATTCGAAAAGATCATTGCCGAAGAGCGAGCGAAGGCACAACAAGGCGAAGGAAGTGCCAGCGCGCAAGTTGAAGACTTGGAAGCGCCAGTGGCCGACAATTCCTCGTCATTGTATCGCGACAAGCGAGAGGCAGCGGGAACCGCTGCGCCTCAGGGAGTTGCGGGAGACTCCGCACTCTCAATCGCACCAAGGATCGCGGGAAGACCCGCATCCTCAGCTGATCCTGCGGGAAGCACCGCGGCTTCAGCAAGTGCCAAAAGACCCACAGAGGGCACACAAGAAGCCCAAAAGAGGCTGAAGGCACCAGATCCAAAGGGAAGCAAACGAAACCCTGAGGTCAGTGTCCAAGAGCTGCAAGACGCAGAAGACATCTCAACATTGCTGCTACAGCAAGACGAAAGCACGCATGCAGAAGAGAAAGGCACTTTGCCTACACTCCATGACGTGCCACTCGCAGCAATTTTTGAGGATTCCCTCCTCGCCGGATACCCAGAGTTGGGAAATGTGACATCAGCTTTCGACGAGAGATCAGGCGAAGCGCTGCCTCTTGAAAAGGTCAAGACCGCTAGGGGCAGAGAGCTAGACAAGATGATCGAGCACAACGTCAAAACTGACATTACGTGGGAGGAGGCCAGACGAAGGGGATTGAAGATAGTCCGTAGTCGCTGGGTCGACGGATGGAAAACCATCGACGGAGATCCAAGAGGTGTGAGGTCCAGATGTGTAGCACAAGAGGTGAACACAAGTCCTAGAGAGGACGTACACTCTGGAACCCCACCGCTGAAAGCTCACAGGATGATTTTGTCCTGTGCGGCAACCAAACGCAAAGGACAACATCAGCACGACAAGCTGATCGGACGTTACGACGTCAGTGTGGCATTCTTCCATGCCACATCCACCGGCAAAATCGCCGTGGTACCGCCGGATGATCTCAACGATCAAAGACACCTATGGTATCTCAACAAGGCAATGAATGGAACTCGCGAAGCGAGTCGCCAATGGTCCGAGTTTGTAGACGGAACTGTGACCAGGAAAGGCGGATTCAGCAATGTGCCAGGAGTCCCCGGAGTGTTTTATCACAAGGAGTGGCAAGTCACAATGAGTTGTCATGGGGACGACTTTCTGGCCGAAGGCCGAGCGGAAGATCTCGACAAATTGGATGAGTTCATGCTGCAACATTTTGAAATCAAAGTGTTGCCGCGAATCGGCAATCCTGAGCACGGAGGTCAGTGCTTGGAAGGAGACCATCTGCGCAGAGCAATCAGGTGGACAAAAGAAGGGTTCACTTGGGAAGCAGATTGCAAATACGTCAAGCTTTTGACAAAAGAGCTTGGGCTAGAAGGAGCAAAAGGAGTTGACACTCCGAGCTCAAAACTGACAGGTGCTGGCTGCAGAACCAGCGACAAGCCGCTAGACGCAGCGGAAGCCTCAAGATTCAGACATCTTGCAGGGACAGCTCTTTACTTGAGCTTGGATAGACCTTCTATCCAGTACGCGTTGTCAGAAATCACTGCCGGAATGGCAAAGCCGTGTGAAATCCACATGCTGCGACTCAAAAGACTTGGTCGCTACTTGTTGAAGTTTCCGACGGAGACTTGGCTTTTCGCCTTACAAGAAGAACCTGAAGAGTTCCAGGTTTACACAGATTCTGATTGGGCATCAGATGCAGTCACGCGCAGATCAATGTCCTGCCACATGGAGCGATTTGGTGAGCATCTGTTAGACAGTGGATGCGCCAAACAGTCAACAGTGGCACTTTCGTCAGGAGAAGCAGAGTACTACTCCTTGACAAGAGGAGCTGCAATCGGACTGCTGACCAAACACATCTTACAATGTGTAGGGTTCAATCGAGTCAAACAGGTCATGCTGACCGACTCGACAGCAGCGAAAGGCATCGCCCAACGTTCGGGCACAGGAAAGGTCAAACACCTTAGCATCCGTGAGTTATGGTTGCAGGAGAAAGTCCGTGCAAGAGAACTAGCTGTGCGGAAAGAAAGCACAACAACGAACTGGGCTGATTTGGGCACGAAGTCTCTAACAGGCCCAAGAATCAGCGAACTGGTTCAAATTATGCCACTCTGCAGGAGAGGCATTGTTGTAGCATGCCTGCTGTGTATGATGAACTGCGCAGCAGCACAGCCAGAGGATGAAGAGAAGGACTCAAGCATCTTTAGCTTTGTGCTCTATATGTTTGTGGTCCACATCCTTGCACTATACGGGCTGTTTTCAGCCGTGAGAAGAAGGTTCATGAGAGAAGAAGTCTGCGAGAAGATGATTCAAACAGATGAGATCAGGGCAGACAACAGAACTACGCAGACATCCACTGCGCAGAGCACCGCAAGTTCTTCAACATCCATGCCAGTATCAGGGCATGGAGGGGAACAAAGACAGAATCCAAAAGCAAAGCCAAAACCAAAAGCCGAAGCGAGAGAACCACAAGATGACCTAGTGGCTATACTTGGAGGCGGTGTACGGTATCATCGCATGAGCTGCGGAATGGTGAGAGCTTTCCGTGGTAATGTACAGAACTGCCGCAGGTCACTAGCTGTTGAACGTGGCTACACGCCATGTAAACAGTGTGGTGGTTGAAGTGTTTCACTGAAAGTCAGCCAAATCACTACGTGATTCAGCTGTGGAGGGGTGTCAGGAAACAGACCCTATTCCAGTCACCACCTGCCATGTATAGGCTAGCATGTTGTACATGAGAATTCATTTAAAACTTATGGCCATGACTTTGGCTCAAGCATCAGCGTGATAGGAAAACAAGCTGCTTGCTGCATCTTGGGGCTGTGCGCCCCGCTTTCACACACACATTATATATATATATTATGTGTATGCATGTAAATGATTGTAGATGTATGTATATATATATATTATATAAAATATGGATGTATGTATGTAGTTAGATATTTGCACAGGTTTATAGCTGGCTCCAGGTGGAACAGGACCTCAAAAATTGTGTGTGTGTGTCATCCTGTCCACATGACTTAGTCACGCCCAATAGTCGGCCCTCACTACTTTGCACCGGTTTTAAAGATCAAAGAGGTACAGTAATGTGAGCCTCATTGTCATTGGCCTCCAGTAAACATTTGCAAACCATAGCCACTGCCAGAGGCTACACCAAAGCGTCGCTATGGTCCAGAAGAGCCTGGAAAAATTGTCTCCATCGATGAACTTCAGGCCAAAACCTCAGCAGATGGGGGCAGTTTGGAACATACACAGGAGAAATGCCTGATGGACGTTGGTTGGAGGAAAAAGACAAAAACCATAGGGAAATATATAGTTGATGAATATTGATGAATTTCTGACCCTCGTGTCCTGTTTGCTGGCAGGCAGATTGCCTTTGGACAAGCAGCGGCCAGGATTTGTAGCTGCGCCACTGGAAACCACATTTATTTCGGCCCCTTGGAAGTGGGCAATATGATCAAATCGTTCATCAAACCATTCTGCACCAGAAGATCCCCCAATCTATTAAGTTGTTTGACGATTCCGTTGCATAAGTGTCACAATAGGGACCAGTATTACAGCTTTGTGATTTGTAAATCCAGCACCTCCGCCAAGGCTATGGTGGTGGGACCTCCGTGCGAAAGGAGATGGGGCCCGTCCTGAAAGCATCAGCGAAACTGCTGGCACGCTTTGAAGATGCGAAGATCCACATCGATGCCCATGCTGGACGGTGGTGGATGGGCATGGTGGGGATGGTGTGTGATTGTGGGCAGGGGCTGGATTGGAATCTATTTCCATGTTCTTTAGGTGGGCAGGATATTAAGTGCTTGGACATGGGCTGTGACAGGTCGTATGACTCTTCCGGGATCCAAATGCCGCTCCCTCTTGACAAAATGGCTAGACAACCAGCGGGTTTTTATGAAAATACAAATTTTTATTCCAGGTTTCATGGGGTTTATTGCATTTACCCTCTGGTTATTCAACATAGCCATGGAAAATGGCCCATTTATAGATGGTTTACCTGTTTACCTATTTAAAATGGTGATTTTCCATGGCTATGTTAAATAACCAGAGGGTATTATCATTCTTCCAATCACCACTGCTTGATGACTCGCCAGGAGTAAAAGCCCCTGGTCGCTTTGTGGCAAAGAACTGCTCTCAGGCACGGCTGCAACATGTTTTCGAAGATGATTAAAGATGGACCCTGGAAATCTATGGACATTTCAACTCCATCTTGGCAGTGTAAAGGCTGTAGAGGGGCCTTATTTATCCTGTCAGATAGTATCAATTTATATAATTTACATTTATGTTAGGTGTTTTTTTCTCGCTTCCGTCCATTCCGAGGCTAGGGCGAAGGCCATCTTACGTGAGCTGGTGCATTTTGGAGTCCCAGCTCCTTGGCTGGGGGCCAAGGCGGCTAAGGTATGGGGAACGCACCCAAGGTCCCAAGGTTCTCACGTCTCAAAATGACTTCCGGGGGCTGGAGATTCATGGTTTTGAATGGTCCTGAGTGGGTTGGATGATGTATTAGGATTATTTTGGGACCTGCAACTTCGCCATGATCCGTGGTTGTAATATACGTAGTCTAAGCTTCACAAACCTTAGGCTATTAGGCGATCCTGGAAATGTGGCAGGGCTAGGGACGCCTACAGTTGGTATCATCCAATGCGGTCGCTGTCCAGCCAGACTCGCAAGGCTAATCGAATCACCTTTGTGGCATGGGGAAAGGAGATCTCCAGCCACTGGAAAGATACAGATGAGAAAGTAGCCAGGGCTGAGATCTACTTCCAGATGCTTGGCAAAATCACTGCATTCATTTGCAGTCAGCAGAATAGATGTTGAAGTTGCACATGTTGTTGAGGCAGCTTGGAAATATAGTTGTTGGCCTTAGGTTTACTCCGAGGTGATCAGATGTGACCCAGGGCAGTGGAGTTTGTGACGTCGAATGGTCATGAATGGTTAGCTGAACCATCCAAACTCTGCACATATTTGAACTCTTTGTCAAGGATGGCGGGAGCAGAGTTTCCAGAACGGCCGGGATATTATGTGCAAGCCGCCTTGAGCACGTTCCCTGCCTTAGCTCATGACAATCTTGCAGTGTGTTTCATCTCAGAGGTTAGCACATCCTCAGTGCGCCTGACCCAGGTCCACCGCGCTTCGCCATGGGCCAGATGCCACTGGGCAAGAGGTAGTGACCATGTGTTTATCTTTTTTCTCTAAAGATTTTACACATGTCCACATCCATCTCTTTCTCGCTGTCTTCATTCATATACTTGCATTTATTAACTCATCAACCATCATTGGCCATCCAATTTGGGAGGTGGCTGATTTTGATCCACACCATCGCTAAAACTAAACGTGACTTTCAAACACCTGTCTCGTAGAAAATAATAAACGATTAACCGATGCAAGTACTGTAGAGGAATACCCCCCGTTCTGTCAGGTATTGAACTCAAGGGTTGAAATATGTTATAATCCCACTTGTTTTCATCAACTTGCGGTTTGCTTCATCATTTTTTCGTATGCCTGTTTACTTTGCTATGCTGTATTCAGTACAACGCGGACTGCTCCATATATCAAAAAACACTGAGATACATTTTAACCCATTCAAGTATGATGTACATCAACATGTTTCGAGTCAAGACTTACATGAAAACCCCGCTCTTTGGCTACTCTTCCCACCATGTTAGCATATTGGCATATTCTTAAGTTGCACCCCTGCAACCTATCATTCGGAACCATGAAAATTGAAGTGCCTGGGCATCCTCTTTGTGTTTTGTCCCTGGAACTGCTGGGGGGTGGGAAAAAACGGTCATGAACTTGGGCTATCCCCATGGAAGCACAGCCAGAGGTTTATGAATCATCACCTCAAGCATTGTACGCTTAAAGGACCACACGTGTTTTTATGCGTCAGCTAGTGTTTGGCCTTCAGCTACTAAGGCTTACTGAGGTTTTTTGAGGCCTAGCAAGGATTTGGACAAAACTACCTGGGTTCCAAGAATGACTTGGCTGTCACCTTTACACAGTGACAACCTTGAAAGGCTAAGGAAGTCATTGGCCCTGCCAACATGATTCACATGACCTGGAGCATTTTCGGGTGACCTTGCTTTCTTCACTTGCTGCTTCCCAGGAAATGGATGACGACTTTGGAAATGAGAACTTCTTACATTCCGACCCAGACAGCCTGATGCTCTTCCTACCTGCCGCAACTGGTTTTCAGCTGGTCTCCGTCTTAAATTCAGCGTAGCCACACGCGCCATCCGCTGGCGAGCGTGTCACCCTCTGCAGAGATTGGCCGATGGCTTAGTTACCTCAAGTCACTCTGGCGAACCACAGTTCGGCAACGCAGACACGCTTGGCCAATTGACCGGTGCAGATTTCTCAGTGGTTGGACGACACGCATCCCCACAAATTATAATTTATATCATACTATGTCAATGGTACATTTCAATACTTGCTGTGGACAACGTTTTCCAACGTTTTTCATGTTGGATGTGACCCCTGGCGGTACAAGTGGAACAGTAAAAAACCCTCCCATCCCCAGGAATTGGTTTCCAGCCACAGAGTGAGCCCACAGGTGGACCCCACGAGGGAAAGACACAAAGCGGGGCAGGGGCTCGGCACGGCGGCATGGAACCGGTTGTTAAGATCATAAGAGTTTTCAGGTGAGGATGACTCCTGGAAGTTTGTGAATATCAGGAGCATGCATTGCTGTTGGCTACTACATGATGGATGAAAAACATGTAAAGGATGCACGGCATGTGTACTGAATGTTTTTTCTTCTTTTTTTTGCATAATGAAATGATGAAGCTCAAGAGAAAACACAGCTCTTGTCTTTGGAACATCTTGGGGTGTTTCCCTCACCTTTTGCGCAGCTGCAATTTCTTGAGGAATTGGCTGCCCGACGAATAGCTAGGAACCCATGACTAGCGTCCGATGAATAGCTCCGAAGCTCCAGACGACACTGAGAAGCTCCAGCCGGATGAGGAAAAAAACTTAGGATGAGAGGTGTGGCTGTTCCCAGATGGCAAGTGGATGGCAACAGAGAAAAAAGTGTATGACCTAGTACATGTAGAATTGCTACCTGGGTTGTGCGAAAACATGGCTTTGCCTGGAAGCATTGGCTTTGCCTGCGCACATAGGAAACCTACAGTGGTTTCAGGCATTCCATGGAGCAGACTTACACAATCTAATGTAGCCAACTATTCACAACCATACACATTTGCTTAGATGATCTTGGATTATAGACCATTATGGATTCAAAGTTAGTTGGTTGCTTCATCTGCTGCTCTTGGCTCAGTGCAGTAGTAGCCATGACCACCAGCTGCTTCCCATGTTGTGGCCTGGCTTCCCTGCTGGGCCGTCGCCCGGCAGGCTGTGGCCCTGGCCATGACCCCGGCCCCACCGGGGACCCAAACGGGGACCCCAACGGGGACCGTGGGGAGCACCAGGACGGCAGCCTGCTGTTCCTGGGCTCCTTGGAGGGAGACCTGGTAGCATCCCACTGTGACCCTGAGGCACTGGCATGCCTCGCAGCCTGCAGCAAGATGCTCTATGGTAACATTTGCTGCATCGAGCTGGTGAGGAGAAGGGTGGAAGATTGGCAAATCACGGGGGAGCAGTCGGAACAGTGTCACCAGTTGGAACATTTGGCATTTAGCTTGGCGATGCGAGAGCTGCTTGGTTGCAGATGGGAAATGCTGATTATGACATTACTGTAGTATTTGGAAGCAGGGTCTCACTGTCACTTTTTCGGGTGCGCCGGTACTCGCGCGCCACGGTGCACCAACATCAGGTTGTGTGACCAGCCCAATTCGCATCATGTGCTCTTTGGCAGCTTGGCTGTGATCTGTGAACAGTGGCCATATCTTGTCCTGAACTGACATATGATGATATGAGATATCCTCAGATGCTTGATTGCACCACAAAGTGTATGTCACCAGGCATGGCTTTGGACCCACGTTACCCTACCAACTATTTTTAAGACTTGCCATGTTACTTTGAATTCTCATCTCCGGTGCCATGCCGCGTCTTTTGAAGGCTATGGGGGCGGCAAAACGCCCTTGGCATCTGCAGTGCCTTTTCTTCATTCAGCCGCCAGCATCGCCAAGCGTTTTCCACGTGCCAAAGTTCATGTGGACGCCCATGCAGGAGACCACTGACACATGCGGCATGACGCGAGGATGTTTAGGTATCTTATGGTCACTTATGGTATCTTCATGGTATCTTCACCCATGACAATGATCTTCCATGATCTTTCCATGATCTTTCCCTATCTGCCGGTTGGACAAGGCCCCATTAAGGGTCACCATGGACGCAGCCTGCAGCTCCGCAGGAGTTTATGCACCGAGCCATCGCGTTGCGGACAAGTGCTCGCTGGGGCGGGCACAAAGTATTCGTCAACATCTTCTCGCCCAAGGTGTTGCGGCCACCCAGCCAGCACCCAGCACCCAGCGCTTCAAAAAAGCCACGCTTCCCTGGTTCCATCTTGTTCCCCTTTGAAAAATCTGTGAAGTGAATACGAAAATATCGAACATGGGTTAGGGGGTGCATGGGCCTCTTTGTTTGGGACCCTCTGTCAAGCATACCTAGCTCTCCAGGACTATGTATAAATCATTTAAGACTAGATTAACTAATATGATATGAAATATATGATATGAACCATGTCAACTAGGGCCAATCTGCTTCACTGCCCCTTTTCCAAGGACAAGGGCTTCTGGAACACCTGGGTTTGTGCAAATATCAAACTACCATTCTACACTTTTTGGGTTAGGTAATTTTCAACCGATCCCGAATATATTTGACAGAATTGCAATTTCTGAGCAGGTCTTTAGGGTTAAGATGAAAGCGTTGCGCGCATCACAAAATATAGCACTGCACGGACAACATTGACAACATCCAATTTTGTTTGAGCATTTTAAACACATCGTGTTGACATGCCGCACACGCTAAATGAGACATAGCGCCCTAACGTGTCCATTGTTGCACACGGCATCGTGCAGAACGCAAAAGCACATTGAAGGTTTCAAGGCGGTGAAACAGCTTGAGAGCCCGAACATGTGACTTTTTTCAAGACATGAAGTTAACCATTACCAAATCAATCTGTGCAATCCGCGTTGCGAACCACAGCTTCTCACCAATGGTGAATCCCAGCCATATCACACATTCAGGTTTCATTTGAAGCAAGAGCTGGAAATGCACTTTGCGCTTTTCTACATTTTCTCGATGCGCGCTTCCACCATACCATGCTGCACTTCCAACCTCTTCCACACACAGCAGTCACACATCGCAAGCGGCCATGCTCAACATGCTCTACAATGAATTGTAGAATAAAATGAAATAAAGAAGAATTTTCGGATTTATATAGAGCTTGTATATGTATTTGTGATTTACTCCCATCCTGTTGTTGATTTCACTTATTTGGCTCAAGTTGCAAAACGTTGCGGCTTGCGCTATCGCTGCATTGGTGTGTGCTTCTATGTCTACACTACGCACTATGAAATATGTTTCTTTCATAGGCCCTACGGTTTTCAATGAGCGCTGCGGCCGCAAAATTTCAAACGGTATTTGGTGTAGTCCCAATCCCACATACAGGGCCTCAGCATTTTGAAGTGGTAGAACGGTCAGCCCACAACCCACTGTCTTTAGATGATGGAACATAACTATCACTCTAAGACTAGCCTTTTTGTGTACCTGAGGCATATGCGTTTCATTACACACGAGCGTTTTCGGGCCGGTTTCGCAGAGCCTTCCTGTCTAGACATATTTTGGCCACCGCCAGCAGGCGGCCATCCCAACAAATCCACCAAATCCAACCGGGTTTCGGGTTTCGCGGAAGATTTCCTAGGCCTACCCGAAGTCACTGGCGCCCAGGAATGTATAAATAGCTCGGCAAGGCTTTTTTTTCGGATCTATAAATAGTCCCAAAGATTTTTTTCTCTTTAATTCGCACTTTTTGGCGTTTTGGCCGGAAAGAGAGCCTGAACGGGTCCGGTTTCTTTTTTTGGCAACGGACTATTCCCCCACTGGACCCGGCCAATCCGGCATGTCCTGCAGGATGGCCGCGTGTCCGCAAAGTCAAAGGAGGAAATTGGCGTATTTTTATGTATTATTCAGAACATACAGCGTGGGCAGGGGTACACTGCACGTCTTCCGGGCAAGGCAAAGGTGTGTTGAACAAGCGAGAGCGCAACGTATTAGATATCCATTATGGACTGATGAAAGCACCTCCTTTGAAGCAGATCTCAGGTTGGGCTTTTGGATTCGGATCTGTCGGTCTATCGGTCTATCGGTCTGTCTGTCTGTCTGTCTGGTACTGCTACCTTTTTCTTTTTGCCGGATGCTTTGTCTGTAAGTTGAAATAATATGTTTGCTGTTTGTTTCTATATCTTGGTTTCACGATCTACTTCTTGTTTTCTTGTTTGAAAATTGAAAAAATGAAGAAAATCATAATTCGGAAAAGAGGTTAAGCATGTCGTATGATATGCTCTTACTAGAAACCGCTTGGAACCGTTCCGAGCCGTTTATACCTTCTGCGTATTAGGTCGTGTCAAAAATAGCCCCAAACCGCTCCGAACCGTTCCGAACTATTTATAAAAACCATTTACAAATAGCTTTGAACCGCTCCAAGCCGTTCCAAGCTACTCATACCACCAAACCCTAATTAGTCCCAATTAGTCCCAATTAGTCCTGAATAGTCTTGACAGTATAAATAGTTTTGAACCGCTCCGAACCGTCCCACGCTACTTATAAACAAGCTTTTGTAAATAGCCTGAAACCGCTCCAAACCGCTTGGAACTATTTCAAAACAACTAGAATTGATGCTGGGTAGAAACCGCTTGAAACCGCTTGAAGCCGTTTTTAAACAATGGATTTTTTTCAAAGAAAATACAATGTTTTTTTCTTTGATATTTGAGTGATATATCTTTTATTTGTTTGTTTCACAAAACACAGTTATCTTACTAATGATCAAAATTATACAATATGAGATGACATATTCAAACATACACATATTCATAACATATATAAAAATATATTTACTATTTGTGTGAGAACTCAAAACCAAGCAGTGAGATCAGTTTGCAACTGTGGTTTAAATACTAGTGCAAAACTCTTCAGTTCGGGATTGCCACCGAAGTAGTTTATACTTTTGGCTGCCCCATCAGCAAGAGCTGTCTGTGGGAAATAAGGGTGCAAATACTCCACGGCAGAGAGCTTGGAAAAAACATCGTTCCATGTGCGGGCTGTTCCGCTGCTCTTTGCACAGTCCCGCAGGTGTGGCAACCCCCTTCCTGGATCTGCCTCTTTTCTGTGAGGATAGAGATTTCTATTTTATAAATAGCCCCAACAAATTTATAAATAGTCCCAGGGCCTATCTCTGTCCTCACAGTCAAAGAGGCCGACGCACGCCCTAAAACATGGGATCCAAATCCAGGTGTTTGAGGTGTTGAATTTTTGCATGTCATGCTGCAGTTATCCAGTGCTGCAAAATGCCCCCAAATGCCAAACCTGCCTGATGTGAATATTCTGCGCCAAGGCTGCACAAATCTCAACCACAGCATGGGGAAAATATGTCTCATCATCTTGGACCGAACAAGATGATCGCGTGGCTCGTGCCGATGCCTGGCTAGCACGAGAACCGGGTGTGTGTGTGTGCGCGTGCGTGCGTGCTTGTGCGTGTGTGCCTAGGTTTTGCAACAAATTGCACCATAATACTGATATACACATAGATTTTCATCGAATTGCATGACATGTACATTGTATGGAGCACTGCTAGATTTCGGCACGTACTCGTAGGATATTATAAGTTAAGTAGGTATCATAAACAATGAAACATCTACACCTACACACAGGCATATATGTGTTGTGCATATTTAGTCCTGTGGTGCTGGGACTGGTCATCCCAGCAGTGCTCTTGAGGAGCACTCTGAGCCGTTGCCATTACAGGAAGTCTACATTTGCTTGGACGCGATCCACCTTCCAGACAAGCCTGATTACTATCGCAATTCGCCGTGGCGCCCCAAGGGAGACCAAAGGGAGAGCTTGGATCAATTCCAACCTGAGCTGCCAGTTGTGACCTGGGAAACCAAGGTCTTTGAGTACCGAGCCCCAAGCCTTTCACATCTACAACAGAGATGGCCACTTTGGCATGGCGGTTGGCAGGTTCACATAGATTCACCACCCCCGCTTCGATTTCACCCCGAACTCAGAGACTGTTGGGCATGTTGGGCCCCACTGTTTGGGGTTCCCCAAATGGACACAGCCGCCCCCTTCCCAACTGGAGGCCACTTCTGGCTCATGCCTGAGGAGGAGCTGGAGATGTCGCGTTTCCTGGCGATTGATGTCTAAGGGCGCAAAAGACCGTAGATAGATTAGGAACATGCTCCAAGCTCTCCACATCTCTCCACCCTCACTGCGACTGACTGGCTTTAGACACCAACCTGAGTCATCCTAAGTCATACATCTGGGGATCCAGGGCGCTTCCCTGCTAGTTTGGACATCATTTAATACCACTTGAACTAGCCAGGCAGTCTTGTGGAGGGTATCGTTTCTTTTCCTTTGATGTTCCCGAGTATTCCGAGTCGTGCTGACGGCATCAACTTGTCACTGATCTTTCCGCCGCGCATTTCATGGATGCTCAAAATTCATTGCTGCCACGGCTGGAGACCGTGAGGATCAGCCAGATGGTGTACATAAAAGCATGCCCGTGAAAGGCAGCTCTGGGGGTACACAGGATACCTCACCCCGCTGTGACTTCGACTTGTTCCTTGGTGAGGCCCAAAAGCATCGCAGCTGTCAGAGTCTGTCAGAATCTGTCAGAATCTGTCAGAATCTGTCAGATGCCTCGGAACTTGCTCAGTCAACAGAGTCAACAGAGGTCATCTCAGCGCATCGCGTTACTCCGGTGGCTCCTAGGTGAATTCAACACGGCCTGAGACCCTTGGGTAGGTAGGCACCGTAGGCACCGTAGGCTGTTGAAACTTCATCATCATCCCAAGAAGTGGCTGTACTGCGCCTGCACCATTTTGATAAAGATCGCAGAAGATAGATTCACATCCACAGCGCCTGTGAGCCAAACAAAAATTGAATCCCTATGATTCCGTGTTGCTTTCGGGAGTAGAACCATGTAGAACCCATCAGAATGGCTATATCATTGATTCAGGTTGATCTTGACTCCATGAAATTGGGCAGATGCTTTAAAACAAGTAACAAAGGCTCCATGCCATTACCACTATTAGTCACTATTACCTGCGAGACTGGGTCTCTATGCATGGCTGCTCCGGTGCTGGCTTGCCTCGGCCTTCGGCCGCCTGTCCAAAAAGAGGAAGCTTCTTCTTGCGCGCCATGGTGGAAATCGAGGTGCTTCCAGCTCATTGGATGCATTTATTTTCATTTTCACATTTATTGCGTTAATAAATGATGAACCCAAAGATCGTACCTCCAATTGGGGATGGTTTGTTGACTTTTTTAGACCACCCGTTTCCGGGAGGTATGGGGAGGTGTTCTTATTGAGTTTACATGAGTTGCTTGCTTCAACATGATTCAACATGATCGCGCATATATAGATTCATGGGGTATGCTGGGGCCCAGGGTACTAGTTGATACTATGTAACAGACCCGTTTTCTTTCTCTGCTGTTAGATTGTGCACCTGTTGCCACCACTCACCGCATATATACTTAAAATAGGTGTGTATATATATATAGAGGTATATCACTGATATCACACATTTGAGTCTAGTTCATATTTCAGTGTCTCAACGGGTGATGTCTTCACAGGTTTGCATTGATTCAGCATTCGCGAGGCTAGCATCTTCAATCTCCATCGTCGGAGCCACTACTTGGGCTGCTCTGATTTTTCCGCTTCCAGGTGGCTGCAGCTTGAAAGGCAGAAACTTCAATGAGTACGCACTGGCTCTCAGCACTGCGATGGCAGGTCTTGGAGCCTTGTGGACATGGCTAGTGGCACCGAGCAAGCACATTCTTTGGGCGTCCTATTTCTTGTTCCTCAATTGGTTTGAGGGCTTCATCACTTTCTACTTGATTTTGCTGATCCGATGTGATTCCTCTAGCCATAATCTCTCGCTAGATTTTCTGTACAAGGTCTTCTTCTTCAGGACAGCCCTCCTTGCTTGTGAGATGGTTTGCCTACAAGCCCTTGTTGAAAATCGGCTGAAGAGTCTTTGGCATGTACCCAGCCATTCCAATTGTTTTGACACATTTCTTTTTGCAGCAGAAACTTCTACCCTTTGCTTTGGCATCATAGCGATGATCCTCCAGCTACTCTTCCCACTGGATTTGGGTTTGTGGTGGGTCCAACTGCTTCTTTTGTCGTGCGCCTTTGTGGTCCCAATGGGCTTCGTCGCATGGGCAGTGCAGGTGCTCTTGAGATTGTGTTGCTGTCTGATGGTTTTAGCATTTTTCAGCCAGGTTTTGTTGTTTTCATTTGTTTTCATATGTTTTTCTTTTTCATTCTCCAACTCTACGACTGGAGTAACCATGAGTAATCCACATAGATTGCCACAGTCTCCAGGTGACTGAACTCACCAAGTGACATGGATATCTCAGATACCCTAAATTCAGGAGACCCCCAAATCCACCAGACTGGTGTGATTCAGGAGCGGAAACCTGTAGATAGAGATGGCCACGTGGCCATTTCATGGATGTTCATTGTTCCAAACAGGTTGTGTCTTTGCCACATTCCAGCGAGCTTTACGGCGAGTCAAGCGGGAAGAGCTCAATGGTGTGAAGTCGTTGAGAGCGAGCCGATGGGAGGTTCAGTTGCAAGCTGCTGGAGTGATCTTTAGTTTGAGCACCACATTCGTTTTGGTGGGTGCCATTGTGGATATGTATATCATCGCTCAAGATGGTGCTGACCCGTCTGACTTCTTGAGACTGGTTGGCATTTTGGCATATTTTGAGAGATGTTATCAAGTATATCAAGTATTTTATCCCAAACCCCGGTGGGTCATGGGCCGACAAGCATGGTTTGATTTCTGCGGGGCGAGCTCAGACACAAAACAGGAGAGGGGTTCTGGCAGCCTGCGCCAACTTGATTTTGAATACTGTGGGAGCCGTGTTGCTCTCCGGTGCTCACCGGCTACTTTGGTGGACCCCAGGGTCAGAGAGAAGTTCACAGCTTCATGCAGCCGCTCGTCTCTGTAAACTCAATGCTTTTCGAAAGTCAACAAGCACCAAAGGACCGCTGCAACAAGCATGGAAGACCGACAAGGGAGCAGAATGGGAAGAAAAAACTGCAGAACTTGCAGCGCGGGGCATATCTTTGCGCAACCTTCTGACTTTCTACAAATTGCTGGGCGATTCGGTCATGCCATCGTACGAACCATCCAGGCACTCCACCAACGATGTGGTGAGACTTGCGATCATCCCATTGACTGCTGCCCACAGCAGCTCATATGCTGAACAGGTCAACCAGGGGAGGAAAATGATTCCAAAGAAGATGGTCACCCATAGCTGGTCTAACCTCTTTCGCGACTTGCTGGCGAGTGTCTTGGCTGATGCACTGGGAGAACACACCTTCGAATTTCTGGCGCGGCTGCTGTCAGACAGAGCTGGGACCGAGCTGGTCGAGCAAATGCTGCTTTCTTTAGGTCGCCTTGATGACAGCTACTGGATTTGTGCTTTCGCAGTGAACCAGCATAGTGGAATCTGTGGGGCCAACCCAAATGGAAATGTTGATCCTGTTACACTGATACCTCATCCGATTTGTGACTGCGGCAAGCCGAAGATGTTCAACAAGACACCACCCTTGAATTCGGAGGATGGGTATGGAGGGATTGTCCGGAGTTGGGAGAAGGGTTCAAAATTGTGGACCGACAAGCCATCCAGACCAGGTCTCATGGAATGCAACACAAAAGGACCTACTTGAACAATCTCACAAGATTCGCAGATGTTGTAGATTCAGCCTCTCACGTTCCTACACACCCAAATTCGTCTTACGTTGTTTCACATTGTCTTACTAATGACTTGCACTCTTCGCAGCATTTCTCTTGGACAACCTGACAGGGGGAGAGCATCCAGTGCGAGATGAACAAATTCGATGATATGATGGCCTACCTGGCTGGCAAAGACGAGTCCTTCGCAGAGGTGATCGCTGTGGACGAGAAGCTGGATCTATTTGAAAGGGCTTGGTGTATGGCAGAGGTCGCGGAGGCGAAGCAGATGGGCATGGAACAGAATTTGAAGCTTCGAAATAAGGAAACATTAATTATTCGACAGAACACTTTGAGAGGCCTTGATGTGAAACAAATGCAAGCGAGCCGGCCGGAAGATGTAAAAGCAATCCTGGCAAAGATTCCTGACACGAAAGCTTTTAACGACTACCTGCAAGACCTGATCTTTGACCAAAATTCAGGGCTATTGACAAATTGGCACAAGGCAGATGCCTTGCAGCAGATGGAAGAAGCATCTCGAGTTTTGAGATGGGCAAGGATTTCTGAGGCCGAAGATGGTGCAATCATTTGGAGGGAATGGGTTTCTTAGACCACGCAGATGGGTGTGGGTCAATATCATATATCACCCCTTCCAAATAGATAGATATGATGGATGAGTCCAAACATTACATGACCAAATTAGTGGGCAAAATTGAAGGCACTACCCAAAATTTGTCCCATGCCCACATAGTCTATCATAGTCTCACATCTTTTGTCCAGCCGTTTTCAAAGCGCACGCTCTAGGCACAAGACTCAGGCGATGCCTTGCCTGCTTGGTGAGGAAATGTGCTCCAGCTGCTACACAGGTTCACCAAACATATTGGGATGCTACTTCTGCTGTGCTTGACACGTGCTGACACATGGCTATGGATCAATACCTATACATACCATTTTTAGGGGAATGAACATCCATTTACCAGCTATTTTGATGTTCACCAGGGGTACAAGGTTTTGACACACTGCCAAATGAATTTGCATAAAAAGAGGTTTTCTCAAAATTAGGGGCGCCCCCACATTGCAATTTCCTTGGAAATGATGACAAATCATGTGAGTTTTTTTGGTGCCAAAATTTGACACACCCAAACTACTTCGTCCTTGACACGAAACCCGGTGAGAAAATGGCAATTGTTTCCCTATGAGTTCCTGTTGTGCTTGCCTCTTGGTAGAGGTCAAATGGACATTGACAAACTGCTCCCACTTTGCCCATTGGACCAAGTATGCAAATGCTGATGCATATGGGCCATATGGGTATGGATGGACGCTGACTTATGAACACATTCTCCAAGTTAAATTATCAATTTTGGGAGGCGCTTTCAGGCCAACCCGGGAAACATCAGACAATCACTGTAAAGGATTTGATTAGAATTTGAATGATCTTTGAGTTTGTTTCTTACACATGAGGCAAAGGCCACCTTGAAGACGTAGAAGCATAGAAGCTTATTTTCCATGGCGAACCCGCCGCCATGGCAGCTGGGACCGCAAGATTATCAGAATTTGACCAGCTGCTTTGCTTTGTATTTCCCATCAGAAGATGCTGGTGGAGGGGTCATGAGACGTTCGGAGGCTCAAGAAGCACTGCAATGGTGTATGGCCTTTACATATTTGGCCTTCAATCCTACTGCTGCCCCGGAAGTTTCTGGAGCCCTGCAGATTCGAAGGGCACGCTTTTCCTTAGATCAACTGCGAACTATGAGAACTTCTCAAGGTGCCCAGAGTGACATGGTTGCCGGTTTGTCCAAGAGATTGATGATGCAACCCGAGAAGTTCTTAGCCGAAGTGGGATTGGGCTTTGATTTGGCCCACATGCTGCTTCAACGTCACAACCCTCAGCTGTCTGAGACTGCCAACAGTGCAGCAAGGCCCATAGATGTGGAACTGGTGGCGCCGGAGTTAGATCAAGCAGTGCAAGCAGTGAGATCTGAATTGATTGATCGATATGCAGCTGGGCTCAGATTTAACTAGATCTATATAGTTCTGGGACAAGTTTGATGCTTTTTAGTCGAACCACGTCATTTCTCCAGCTCTTTTGTTTTTTTTTGCAGGAGGTGCGTGGGAGTGAGAACCGCACGGACTGGAGGTCAGACTTGCTTGTCAACGTTCTGCATGTCACACACGCACACACACACACAAGTATATATATATACTATATAACATTCTATATAATATATAATTGTATATATATATATGTAATGTATGTATGTATGTAATGTAATGTAATGTAATGTAATGTAATGTAATGTAATGTAAATGTAATGTAATGTAATGTAATGTAATGTAATGTAATGTAATGTAATGTAATGTATGTAATGTAATGTAATGTAATGTATGTAATGTATGTAATGTAATGTAATGTATGTAATGTAATGTGTATGTAATGTAATGTAATGTAATGTAATGTAATGTAAGTAATGTAATGCATGTAATGTAATGCATGTAATGTAATGTATGTAATGTAATGTATGTAATGTAATGTATGTAATGTAATGTAATGTATGTAATGTAATGTAATGTAAGTAATGTAATGTAATGTAAGTAATGTAATGTAATGTAATGTAATGTAATGGTATGTAATGTAATGTAATGGTATGTAATGGTATGTAATGGTATGTAATAGTATGTAATGGTATGTAATGGTATGTAATGGTATGTAATGGTATGTAATGGTATGTAATGTAATGGTATGTAATGTAATGGTATGTAATGTAATGGTATGTAATGTAATGGTATGTAATGTAATGGTATGTAATGTAATGGTATGTAATGTAATGGTATGTAATGTAATGGTATGTAATGTAATGGTATGTAATGTAATGCTATGTAATGTAATGCCATGTAATGTAATGCTATGTAATGTAATGCTATGTAATGTAATGCTATGTAATGTAATGCTATGTAATGTAATGCTATGTAATGTAATGGTATGTAATGTAATGGTATGTAATGTAATGGTATGTAATGTAATGGTATGTAATGTAATGGTATGTAATGTAATGGTATGTAATGTAATGGTATGTAATGTAATGGTATGTAATGTAATGGTATGTATGTAATGGTATGTAATGTAATGGTATGTAATGTAATGGTATGTGTGTAATGGTATGTAATGTAATGGTATGTAATGTAATGGTATGTAATGTAATGGTATGTAATGTAATGGTATGTAATGTAATGGTATGTAATGTAATGGTATGTAATGTAATGGTATGTATGTAATGGTATGTATGTAATGGTATGTATGTAATGGTATGTATGTAATGGTATGTATGTAATGGTATGTATGTAATGGTATGTATGTAATGGTATGTATGTAATGGTATGTATGTAATGGTATGTATGTAATGTTATGTATGTAATGTTATGTATGTAATGCAATGTATGTAATGTAATGTATGTAATGCAATGTATGTAATGTAATGTATGTAATGCAATGTATGTAATGTAATGTATGTAATGCAATGTATGTAATGTAATGTATGTAATGTAATGTATGTAATGTAATGTATGTAATGTAATGTATGTAATGTAATGTATGTAATGTAATGTATGTAATGTAATGTATGTATTGTAATGTATGTAATGTAATGTATGTAATGTAATGTATGTAATGTAATGTATGTAATGTAATGTATGTAATGTAATGTATGTAATGTAATGTATGTAATGTAATGTATGTAATGTAATGTATGTAATGTAATGTATGTAATGGAATGTATGTAATGTAGTAATGTATGTAATGTAGTAATGTATGTAATGTAA